ACTGCCATCAAGGCTGAGATCACTAACTCAGCACTACCTGGCATACCATAGTGTAGTGATTAGACCCAGTTTCGATTCCCCGGCGGGGCGAAACCTTAAGCAAGTTTCCTTACTCTGTATGCCTCTGTTTACCTAACAGTAAGTAGGAACCCGGTTGTTAATCGATTGGGGGATTGCTATCTGGGGGTACTAATCTTTCTAAAAAAATAAATTAAAAATTAATAATTTGTTCACTCAATCCACGACTGTTTGTGGGACATTGCTGTGCGCAATTGGCTGATGTGTTTCACCCCCAAAATATACAGTCATTTCACTTTAGAGTATATTCTGTGAAGTGCTTTGAGACGTCTCAACGAAGTGATAAGGTGCTATATCAAATACATGGATTATTATTATTATTATCTTTCCTGATTTCTCGAGCTCAACTGGGTAAACATGGAGAGCCATTGAAGATACCTCTGAAAGTACCACTGCGAAGAGTGTAGTGCAACAAAAAAGGAGATGGCTCGTGCTTTTTTGTGTTTTTGTTGAATTACTACTTGATTTGTTTAATGAATGAGTGCTTTTGTAATGTCAAGGAGGAATTATTTTGTCTCACAATATGAAGGAGTTGGTCTATCACTTCAAACATTAACAATGAGTTATGAGTGCAAATAAAAGGACTGCGACTAAAAAAATCAGCAGGATATGGCATGGTCGGCCATTTTGCTCACTGACCTTTGTTCTCCAGAATTTGGCGGCTTTCAGAAATTGTCGACACCAATCCAACCATTCAGCCAAAAGAACCTCAAATTACCGTTTCAACAACAATTTGCACTTATATAGTGCCCTTCAGGTGGAGTAGCGTCCAGCAGTGCTTCTCATCCATTTTGTGAAGAATGTAAATCAGCCCCGAAAGACACTCTATTATTCTTCCAAGTCCCCTTCAAATTCAGTAATATCATTAGCATATCAGCGCTTGGGACGTCCTCCCGACGTGAAAGGCGTTACACAAATGTCATTTTGTTGTTGTTGTTGTTGTAGTATTCACTATCTAAGGAAAACAGTCAAACACAATATGAAAAAAAAGCGAATTTCAAAAATTGTTCAAGGGAAAATAAAAGGGTTCGTTACCAGGGCCAGTAAAGGAATACATTTGCAGTTTGGCGATCGAGGGTCAGCATCAAGCACTCTCAGGTCATATACACCATGAGCTAGACAGAGTATGGCTTCCTCTCTGTGTTTTTTAATAACACTCCCCAGCTATAGATGAGAAAAACATCTCCTACAGTGGCATAACCGATAGCAGATTAAAAGCACCACTGTCAGTCATCAACGTGTCAGTGCAAGGTGAAGTCTTCACAGTATAAAAGAAGCATAAAATTCTCCCACAGTGCATTATCATTCCTGAGCGATAAGGTGTTCATTTCTAGCATTTAGTTTCACTGCGTAACTGATCCTAGTTTAGGTGCTGAGACTTCTACACAGGATCGATTGGAACAGTTATCTATGGTTACAGGTTCTGAGTAAGTTGTTGGTTGATAGTTCTTTTTTCAAATGATCTCTTTGGAATATTATTACTATGTTGTTGATCTCTGGTGTACTTTGGTTGTTGCAGATTTGTATTTTGTAATTCTTTTTATTCATATTTTCGTGAATTTTATTCTTTGTTTTGTACCCACTTACATAGCTGGGGTATTTTTCAGGATGATTTGGAAAGAGGGAATGTTATGATGTGCTCTTGGGAGGATAAATGGACCAAATAACATCAAATTAATTTTCTTCTATGCATTATTCCCATTTCTCGGCTGGGCTAGATCATTTGATTGCTATTCTTTCACTGTACCCTTAGTATTCAATAAAGCCTTGTATGCGTACATAAGAATTCACTCTGAGAGCTGTGAGTAAATTTATTGGGTAACTTTTTTTCAAATACAGTGCTGTATAAGTTGAAAAAACAGCAATTTCCAGAATGTGTAAACCATTCACCAAAAACAGGCAGAGATCTACTCACATTATCTAAACTAAACTGCCCTCACTGTGAGCTGACAAAGTCCTTTGCACTGTCTCAAAGAGAAAGAAAAGCAAGCTCCCCACAGAACCTAGATAGGCTGCACACACATGCCATTCATCACATTGATGGATTTAAAGTGCTCTGGGTCACAGCTGGGGTTTGTACTCTGTACTCACGTAAATATGAATATATGTTTAGTCTCATCTTTATGTCCTCCATGAACAGCTGTGACTCATAAACAAACGCAATAGATGAAAACTGAATAAAACTACCTCTGTTACTTTCACGTTCTATATCATAAATTGATGTACCCTTTAGTAATTTCAAGGCTATAATGTCATGAAGTAGTTTCATGATGGTTACAAATTGATTTGAGATTTGCTCGTGTGGTTTATTAATGTAATTTGAACTCATCAATTACATTTACTGCTTAATAATCACGCCCAACTTTTCATTGTTTTCCATATACAGTCCCTTGAGAGTAAAAGGGCTTGACTTGTAATTTTCTTGAAAAATAAAAATAAATTCCCTCTTTGTTCTTCTCTAATCAGAAGAGCTGTGATCCATATCCTGGGATATAGTTCTATAAGCACCTCTGAGCTCTCTCTTATCTAAATCCATCCTTCATCCGTGACTTTTTGACTCTGAGGAGACTGGTAAATGCAATTGAGCTTCACCTGACATTCACTTACAGACACTTTACAGCAGAGGTTACAGACAGCAATCAGGTGTTGGAACCCAAGTTGATTTACCCCCCTCCATGCATTCTGTATGTCACTCAATATTCCATATTCAATACTGCAGTCACTTCACCTCGCCCCCTCCTTAGCCTCCTTCAAGTCCCGCCTCAAGACCCTCCTCTTTGACCATGCCATCGGCCACCCCACTTCCCCTTCCCTCCCTTCTCCCCCCCTGACCCCAGCTCGGGTCTGAAATGCTGTACTCTGTCGTCCTCCTGACGTGAAAGGCGCTATACAAATGTGATCTTGTTGTTGTAACCCAGGTCTGCAGAAGCCATTTGTCGCAAGCATACTCACTTCCAATCTAAAGTCAGATAACTAAGCACCGAGTAGATTGAACAAAAAAATCCAAGTCTGTATTCATACCAGTGTCTTTATCAATTAAGTCACGAGGGAATGGGAACCAGAAATGCAGCTTTAAAGTTGATTTTGACTGTGACAAATCATTATTTGATTTTGTGGCCAACATTAATAGTGTTACCATGTTAACACTTCCAATCTAGTCCAGGCTGTTTGGGGAAATACAAGGAGGGAAACTGAGAAAAACACAAAAAGTAACTCAATCTACACTTCTTCTGTGAACACCTGGTCCAAGAATGATGTCTGCCATAAAGAGCAGTTTCTATACAAATGCGTAAAATTAATTTAAAACTTACATTCCTGAACTCTGCTACATGAATTTTAATTGATTTGCATAAAATGTTTGACATTTGCCATTTTTTTCTGTTTTGAAATGAACACAGTGGTGTATAGTGACCTCAGCACCAGGTATGTTAACAAATATCTTGATCAGTAGGCAATGTCACTGACAGTGTGAAACTGAGCAATACACACCAGAAAAATCCCAGGTTTGATAGTAAGTTAAATGTTTTTGAAATGTTCTTCACTGTGTACAAAACGTGTTTCACATTTCTACACTTTCTTCTTCTTTGCATTCTCTAATGCTTTTCAGTTTTTTTTCCAGCAAGCCTTATTTGGTAAAACGAATAAATTCAAAAGTTAAGGTACTTTAAGGGAAAAAGCATTGAAATTAAGTTTTACATATTGCTTTGGGAATAGCTGAGTTGAGATGTCACCTTGGATCCTTGATGGAAATAAGCATATTTTTGTAATGAGACTGTTGGAATGGAAACGGCAATAGATTCTCACAAAGCTGAAAGTAGATTCAACAAAACACACAAGGTTCTCATTAATTATTATGTACCTTATGAAAACTGACATTCTCTCAGTTGACAGTGGCTTACTGAGAAGAGAATCAGCAGCAAGACTAATGTACATCAGTAAATCCTGAGGTGTATTTTATAGGTTCACCATGCTCCAAACAAAGATTCTTATTTGCTGATGATTTCTTTGAATCGTCGATGTATGAAAGGATTTTGTGATCAATGTTTTTATTAGTTTGATGAAAAAAACAAGAACGAAACTGTTGAGCTCTGCATTCTGCAAAGTAAAGGACCGCAGTAAAGCATGGGTCAAAAAGATTCTGAGGTTTCAGTATCTATTGTTGATCATCATAATATTCCTTGCATTTGATATAACGCCTCATCATGTCGTTGAGACGTCTCAAAGACGTCTTCACGGAATATATTGTAAAGTGGACTGACCGCGTATCTTGTGGGCGAAACGCGGCAGCCAATTGTACCCGGCCGTGCCCCACAAACAGCGGTGGACTGAGCGACCAATTTCTTCCTCTCGCTTCTGATTGTTAACCGGAGAACCATCCTCGCCATCTGACGTAGCGCCTTATCACGTCGTCGTCGGCCCTTCACGGGATTACGTTACCGGAGAGATTCTCGGGTGTGGATGTGTTGGGCAGTCACTCTAAGTTAACTACTCGCTCCGCCAAGACTCCCACATGAAGAAACGAAGCGTACAGCCACTCGGGACAAAGGCAGGCAGGGGACAAGCCAGCAAGCCACCTGCTCAGCCCAACCTCCATTACTCAGGCTGAGGGTATGGGGAGGGCCTGTTTGGGGAGGGGTTGTTTGTGGTAGTGGTTGGTTGGTGGGTGAGGTGAGGTGGGGGGGGGGGGTGGAGGGTGAATATAAATGGCAGGTTTAAACCAAGAAGGTTTTATATCAACAAATTTGATGTCTACCCTTTATGACCTTTGCTATTTGATTTGCTCGCGTTGTGTGTGAATAGTCACCACCCCCCACAACTCCCCCCCCACCCCCACAGCCCCCCACAACTCCCCCCCCCACAGCCCCCACAACTCCCCCCCCCCACAGCCCCCCACAACCTCAACCTCGCCCCAATCTCCTCACCTCGGTGCAACAGCATCAATCTTCTCCTCATAGCGACGGCAAACACGCCGAGAGGCCACGACGACGCCAAAGGCCGAGACCGCCAAACAAACCCTGGTTGCTAGGATACAGTCTCGGGGAGGGGGGCGGGGGAGGGGGGGGGGGAAGGCCGGCGTCGCCAGCCATTTTGTAGCCCAAAGGCCACCAAACACTCGTCCCAAAAAGTAGCCCAAAGTTCAGGCGTTGCACGCCGCGCGGGCAGAAGAGCGGCCGATCCAGGACGGTGCTTTTGAAACTGGGTAAGAATAGGTCTTCGGAGGGGGAGGGAGGGGAACGTCTGTCACAGGTTTAAATTAAATACAATCAGGCGACTCCTCCGCCCGAAGCTGTACATCGCGAAAAAAACCGCCCAATTGGGCGTGAAACCCGCCCAATCTGCTGACGGATGTCGGCGGCGGTGGACTGAGGGGCGGGCGGGCGGGCGGGCAGAGGGGGTGGGGGGGGGGGGGAGACGCAGCGCGATACATGCCGGTCCGAAACACAATGCTGAGGAAAACAGCGCTGGGCGATTGAGAGCCGGGACCATTCAGAGGGGAGAGCTGAGTTCGCGGCGACCAATGGGTGTGAAGCGTGTGTGGCGGGAGGGGGGAAGGGAAGCTATCTGCCGGCGCCCGGCGACTCGCGGTACTATTCGGGCGGCGTGAGGCGACGGTGCTGCTGTCCGCGAGGTCTTTGGGTGTTTTTTTTTCACACACACACACACACACACTCAACGCTCGAGGCGCTCACACTCGCTCGGTTTTCCAGGAACGAAGTGAGTAGTAGTAGTAGTAGTTAGTTAGTTAGTTAGTTAAGTGTCGTAATTATTCTTACGCCCTCGGCGGGTGGGGGGGAGGGAAAAGGAAAAACAAAAAACGCGTGAGTTATTCACCTTCAAACCGTCGGGGGGGGGGGGGGGTTCTGCACCGTTATTTGGTGATTTTTTTTTCAACAAAAATGCTATATTGATGATGATGATAATGATACGTTACAAACATGTACCTCTTGTGCGCTTTTTCTTTTGATACGTGAAGAGAGAAAGAGAGAGAGAGCGAGAGAGAGAAGAGAGAGAGAGAGAGAAGGGGCTTCATTCCAGGGAGGGTCCCGACCAGATGGCCGTTTTTTATTTAAATTTGTGTGTGTGTGTGTATATATATATATATGTTTGAAGGGACCTATCGTTATTTTGTCTGTCTGTGTTTATTTAAATGTGTGTGTGTGTGTATATATTTGTATGTGCACTAACATCTGAAGGGATGGCAGCATTGTTTTGTCCGGAGAGAGAGAGAGAGAGAGAGCGCAGCACCAGCGCGTCCGTTGGACGCTTATTTGTGTCCTAACACGGGACTGGCCGGACAGTCCTGGCCACCTATCTATCTATCTATCTGTCTATCTATCTACCCACCCTGTTATCTTTATTTTTTTTTAAAACAAAAACTTTATCCCAGACTTTATTGGGAATAGGTATTGTCATGGTATCACGAGATTTTTGGTCACTGTGTGTGATAGAGATATATATATATATATATATGGTATTACCGTTATTGAAGGAGTAGGAAGGGTTCTCCGTCGGTTTAATAAAAAGAGGAGGAGAACCCCCCCCCCCCCCCCCCCCGACCATTACCACCACCAAAAAACACTCACGTCCATTGAGTGTGTTAGATCTGCGGAGTGAAGGGGATCAATTCACTTAACAGCGAACGCCAAACGTCCTCCCCCCCCCCCCCCCCCTCCGGTCAAGGGAGGGAGGAGAGGGATTTTGGAGGATAAACGTCGTCTTCTTAAGCAAAAGGTGGGGGGGGGGGGGGAGTTGCTTGAGGTTTTGGCAAAAGACTGGAGATCCAAGCAAAGTGAGAGGGGTGGGGGGGGAAGTCCCTTCTAAAATTCCTAACTTCGAACAACTGAATTCAACGCACTTAATTAAATGTACTTTTTTTCAGAAGGGAAGAGAGGGTTATCTAAGACCAGACTGCCCTCCAAATATATCCAAAGTTATCAATGTGAAGTTTAAAATACCAGCCGTGAGAATGCAACCCCTCACTGACTCAAAAAACGTTGCTTTCCCTTTTTTTCATGCCCCCCCCCCTTCGCCTCACTCAACGAAAAATGGCACGGAGATGTGTATTTCATGGTCTCGGAGAGGCTAGAAAAATCTCCCATATACTGGATGGATTAATAAATACTTAAGCTTGTTGGTGTGAAACCGAATATGGAACTGAATGGCTTATGCGCTATAAAAATCCTCATTGGACAAATAAAATATAATTCACGTCTTAAATTGGCTTGTAATACTGTCAAAATGCAACTGACTTACGGTCTCCACATAAGTTTGCATCATTGGCATTGACTTTGCAATTCCATCATTCTTGAGTTAAGATGGAGTTACTCAACAGTTAGTTACCTGAATTTGTTTTCAATGAGTAGCCTTTTGAATGGATTGATTATTATTTCCTCTAGTACAGTTCAATAGTGTGAGTCTATTGTGTTTGACTGACTGTCTGATTAAGACTTTGGTTTCCAATTATTTTAGGTAACCATGTCGGAAAGAAAAGCGGTCATTAAGAATGCCGATATGGCAGAAGAGATGCAGCAGGACGCTGTGGAATGTGCCACCCAGGCATTAGAGAAGTACAACATTGAGAAAGACATAGCAGCTTACATCAAGAAGGTAATTTGTTTATTATTTGAGATGTTAAGGTACACTTAAAGATAATTGGGTAGGGAATTTGTGCTGACAAGAGGGTTTCCTTTAGGTGTGACCTGGAGAGATGATTTGATAGAGCCCATCCTTCAAATTTACTGTGACTGATGATTGATTAACTGCAGGGTATGGACCATAGGAACGTGACTACAACATCAATCTGCAACCCGCTTTAAGACCTGCCTCTTTCATCATGCTTTTGGCCATCTTTCCCCCAGTTTGGGCTCCCAGTTAGTTGTGTGATGTGCTTTGCGACATCCTCCTGACGTGAAAGACATGTAAATATAAAATGGTTTTGTTTCGAAATGGTTGTATTTTGTACATAATTCTCTTAAATAAACTTTCTCTTCCCTTATGATCTGGAGTGAAGTACGGTACAAGACCCTAGGCAGATAATCGTATTTTGTGATCCAGAGACTGCTCATGTACTCTCTGCTACCAATCATAGCAGCAGATTTTGTGACATAGATCAGCGGCAGTATGTAGTCAAGAATAAACATTTATTCACAGAGCCAATTGCAACAAAGGTACATGTACAGTATGCATGATTAAGGTTAATTTCTGGATGATTGTCTCAAGAGCTCTGTTACCCAATGGTATTTAACTTGCAATCCTTTTAAATGAAAGCTTTTGTATAACTTCTTTCCTCCAGAAAATGATGTAATGAGATTCACTTTGACCATAATACCAAGATAACCAATGAATCTTGGGGGTTTGCTTGAACCTTGGCTGAAATGCCAAACTAGGGGACAGTTTTTATAAATCTCTGCACGATTTGGCATGTTGCTTAGATCTTTGAAACATGCTTTCTCATGCTTCAAAGCTATTGGCTTCCTAATTAGTGTAGCGCTTAGGGGTAACACAAAGGGGAAATTAATTCTTCTCACTAAATCTAATTTTAGAAAACTTGTGAGACACAAAATGCAAATGTTAAATACAATAAGCCCCTGAATGGATTAGTTTGTATAAAATTACTAACCTGTTTGGCGTAAACCACCTTTCCTCAAGCACCAGGCCTTTGAAAATTTGAATTGTCTCGTTCCTCAATGTAAAACTCATGTCCTTTGAAATGAATGAACCTGTTTCCGTCTCCTATTGATCCTTATGAGAGCTGGATTTATCTGCAGTGTACTTACCCACCCTCCAACCTTATAAAAGTGCAGAAAGATTTCATAGTTCATAGATTTCATAGGATTATACATACTTTAAAATCGTTAAACCTTGTCTTATGATATTAAATTGGAAAATATTTACTGTATAGACACTTGACAAATTTGTGGCTTAAAAATATTTAATATCTTCCAGGTTATAAAAATCATAAAGTTACATTATGTGCATGAATTTCCATGATACTTTTTTCACCTTCAAAAATGTTAATTTTATTAAAAACTTGTAGCTCAAAAAATCAATTGAAAGTTTTTCTGGCATATGACTTAAGTTTCCCTGGTCGCCCTTGAGATTTAAATTTGGCTTAAATCCTGTATTCAGTTTGTATGAACAGCATTTAAACATTTAAATCATGTGGCTTGATTGTGGCAGGGTGCAGTCTACCATTGTCTACTGCCATCTATCGATGTCTGCACTTAGTAACTGCTGGATGGGAACAAAATCTCAAGTGGGGAAATCGAATAGAAGTTCAGTATCTGAAACTAAGTATATTTATTACATTGAATGGGGTGTTTCTAGGCAGTTCTGCATTCATTTGGGTAATGGACTTGAGCTCGATTGTCACGATTTGTGAAGTTATCCGAATCTCTCTTTAGGCCATGTGTTTTTATATGTTTTTTTGAAGAGTCTTTTAAACCTCTTGGTTCTCAGTGGTGATTTTGTTCTCTTATGTTCTTGAAGTAATGTGAATATGGGTTTTGTAGCATTGCCCTCCACTTGTTGGCACAATAATATGTCAGCCATTCAGGCAGTCTGTTCATTGAGGTTGAGGTTTGAATCTTAATTTTTTAAAATTGTTCAGGCTTGTAGAGTGAGTGAGGTTCAAACAATATCTATAAATCCTCGTGAGGAGTCCTGTAGCTCAGTGGTTAGAATACTCGCTTTGCAAGTGAGAGACCGAGGTTCGATTCCCAGCAGAGTGAAAACTTTCCTTACTCAACATGCCTGATAATAATCCTCAAGAAAATAAAACAATAATAAATCGGTCACTTCAAACCACGACTGTTTGTGGGACACTGCTGTGTGCAATTGGCTGCTGCATTTCGCCCAAAATATACAGTCAATTCACTTTAGTCTATTCTGTGAAGCGCTTTGAGACATCTAGAAGACGTGAAATGCGCTATATCAAATGCAAGGATTATTATTATTAGTATCCAAGCAAGTTATAACATTATGGGTGAGCTACAGCCAAGCTCTATTCTCTGTTCTTGCCCAAGTCCATGTATGCTTTCCAAAAAGGTTATTAGATAACCATCAAGAATAGCTCTCCTGACTTGCTTTTTGTTTAGGGTGCAGCGGTCAGTTTTAATGATTTACTGCTTTGCTCCAGTGGGGGTTTAGCCTTTGAACTTCAGGCTCTGACTACTTCACGGTATAGAATGGATTAACAAACGTGCCATTTAGTGCAACTACTGTATAGATTTTAAAACAAATCTTGCGATGGTGCACTTTTAAAGGGGGCTGTGTGCCCATCAAGTTTGCTGATGGCTGGATGTTCAAAATTAGGCTTTCAGCTACTCTCTTGTGCTTTAATCCATTCTTGGTCCTCTGGCAAAAGGCCATTTTGTGTTTATGCGCTGTAACTAGTGTAATTAATTCTCTCATTTTTAATTAATACAATTGTAGTATGTATTCCTTTTTCAAAATTGGGTTTGAACTACAAAATGTCTGAACTCCGGGTCATCAGGTTTCCATGGATGTCACTTCCCATACACAGCATACATGCGCAGCATACTGGAAGTGACATTATGGCAACCTGAATGTCAGCCATTTTTGGTGGGGTTTTTTTAAAAAAAACTTAGCAGTTTTTACCAGACCCAATTACAGCAGATCTGCTGAGATTTTTTACAACTTTATCCTCCACTTGAAAAACAAAACAAGGTTGTGCAGAAAACCTATTATAGCTATTTGGTAGAGTGTTGCTTCACTTATAGGTATACTGTTGACTGTGCTAACCCAAAACACAGTATTCTGAAATGTCTGACCTGGGTCACTACATCGCTGCTGACATCATTTTCTACATGGATTAAAGGAAATTAGTGACCCTCGGGTGGGAGAATTTACTGATAAAATGTGCATTTTAGTTTTTTATGTTTATTTCACTTTGGTTTAGGTCTTCCTGTCTGTTTTGATGAATGCTTTAAGAGAAACATAATGATTCTTTAAAACATGTTAGAAAGTTAGCTGTTCAGATTTGCTGACACAAATTCTTGGTGCTTCTGTCTTGCAGGAATTTGACAAAAAGTACAACCCTACATGGCATTGTATTGTGGGAAGAAACTTTGGCAGCTATGTAACTCACGAGACCAAGCACTTCATCTATTTCTACCTGGGCCAGGTAGCTATCCTTCTCTTCAAATCTGGCTGAAGAGGCTGAACTCTAATGATTCCAACATGCAGTCAATCAATAAAAAGACTACTTAATTAAAGTACTTTCTGTTACAACTAATCTACAAAAAGGAATATGAAGTACATGCCCAATGTAATTTGTAGGGAGGTGGACCCCACATTTTCAAGCTGCTTTGTGCTTTTTTGTTTTTGTTTTTTTAGTCATCTTACAAAGGGTCGCTGGCCTGTTTCCAGTGATTGTGTATTTATTTTCTATGTCTTCATTTTCCACAAGTTCCAATTCAATAAACACATTTTGATAAAATTGTTTTACGATGGTTTATTAAATGTTTTCATTGGTTAGATATTTAAGTTTTGTTTCTGAACAGGGTATGTAGTTGTTGGGACGTCCTCCTGACGTGAAAGGCGCTTTATAAATGGAATCTTGTTGTTTGCATGTTCTCCTGTTCTCTTGTGGCTCTTTGGGTGCTCGTTGCTTTCCAGTACTCCATCCGAGAGGCCATTGTTCATTGTATAGACAAAGCTGCTTGATTGAAGAGGGTGTTTATCGCACCTGAGCCTGACCTCTTCCCACCTGGCTGCTGCACATTAATACACCCACTAGATGGGGTTACAGAGTGACTCAGACCTTTGGCTTATTTTTCCTCCTCAACCATGGGTCTAATTTAGCCACCCCAGCAAACTCAGCACGGACTGAAATTCGAACCAGCAAACTCTTGGTCAAAAAGCTGCAGCTCTATCCACTAAACCATTGGGGCTGCCCCAAGTAGGAATTCTTGTCAGCCTGGCTCAAATAAGAACAACAATACCGAATTACATTTGTACAGTGCCTTTCATGTCGGGAGGATGTCCCAAGGGCTGAGTTGGCAGCACTACCTCTGAGTCAGGAAGTTTGGGATTTGAAACCCCACATTGGGTCTTTGAACTCGCAGTCTAGACTCAGACTCCAATGTGGTGCTGGGGGAAGCATTGCATTGTTCGAGGTGCGTCCTTCAGATGAGATGTTAAACTGAGGTCCTGTCTGCCTCTTCAGGTCGAAGTTAAAGATTCTATTGTGCTATTTGAAAAGATGAGTGAGCTTATTCCGGGGCCCTGGCCAACAATCCCCCAGATAAAATCGGTCATTCTCTGTTTGTAGAACGTTGTCACATTCCCTGCAAAATACAGTCTTTACTGTAAGTTAAAAGTGATTTGAGATGTCTCAATGTGATTAGATCCTACATCAAGTGCAAGGATTATTAATTGAGCCTGGTACCTGCCATCCACCTGGTGAAGTAGTGAGGGCTCAACCCTCTGCTTGTTGATTGTTAAATGATCAACTGGTGACTCTTTGGGGTGTGGGGGAGAGGTATGCTGCAAGGTGATGTGCTTAGCAATTAGCCTGAATTGAGTCAGGGATAGTTTCTGGTATGCTTTCTGAGCGAGCCAGGTCCGCAGTGCTCCGGGGCGTTGCAGAAGACAGACCAGCCAGCCTGATTCATCGGTAGGACTGGAGGGGTAGACCAGTCGCTGGGGGCAGGGATTCTTCCCTCTCAGCTCCTATTAATTCTACGCAACATTACATTTGTATAGCGTCTTTCGTGTTGGGAGGACGTCCAGTAGTTTGGACCTGAGCTGGGGGTCGGGACTGGGGAGGGTAAAACAAGCTAAAACACTAACAGGTAGGTTAATCCTTGCTGGAAAAGCAATTTAGTATCGGGTACTTTCAATGGCAAGCTTTGTGGTTTTAACTGGTTAAAACTTCAGCAGAACCTCTCAAAGCAAACTCTGGTGTCCCTAAGTCTTGGATCTTGTCAGCCTGTGTTTAATACTCCACGCAATTAGATAAGCAGGATGCATCCCTCTGGGGAGACAGAGCATTCTGTTCCAAAACACTGAAATTTCCATGTTTACGTGGTCTGAATGAAATATTGTTTGGATACTTTTAAGCACAGTGAAGGGTTTCTGTACGAGACATACTTGGCTGACCAACGTAGAACTTATTTTCCAATTTGCAGAATAACTTGTGCAGGGAATAGCTTACTCCAGTAATGACTCTCGCTAAGTGTTCTGAAATTAAACCGCAATATGTGAGATGCTTCTGCTATCCTTCCAGTTTTAGTTGTTAGCTGTCGAGAAGTGCCCCCCTCCCCCCTCAACATTTGCACAATTCTAGGTAAATCTGTGTTTGATCGGTAATGTTTTCAGTTTTTTCTTCACGTATTGGCATAAATCCAAGAAAATGTATTTTGTTGGCTGACCATAAAGGTTGCCCACTGCTGTACTAGATAGACCCAACCATGAGACATTGTGAGAGAAATCATTTAATTGATTGCAGCGCATTGACAAGATGGTAGATCGTGTTAATGGTGAGGGTGTCACATACATCCAATACTGTATGTGATGCTTTGACCCCAAACGTGTACATGAGGACTAAAATTCCATCACCTAATCTTAATCTGTATGGCCACATCCCAAATTAAGATCCAATGATCTCTGGCAAGCTAAGACTAGGTGGAATTCAGTTCAAGGGTGCCTTGACCTCAACCTGTCTCAGAAATATCCACAATTCCTCCAGTCAAATATCTCTGCAGATTATTCGACCGAGACGGCCAGTTCAATAATGAATTATGCTCTCCTTGTGCTTTGGATTTATTCACATTGCAGTAGTAATTGGGTTGACTGCTCTCAAATAATTTCTCCTGGGACTCTGTTGGCTGCAGAGGAAACTATAATCCCATTTATCAGGGTGGATGTGACGCGAGTGAAGGGACAATACACCACTTGTGTATTGATGAAAATCTGACTTCCTTGCAACGGAGAATAATTGTACAATCTGTGCCACAGATGAAACATGAGAAACTGCAGAATGGATGATTATCTCCCCCCCCCCCCCACCTCCCCTGCCCAAAGATTTAAAATTGGTTCCAGGATTTGGATGCTTCCTATTGTTAACCAACTCTTTTCACTAGTTTCTTGGTAGTTTTGCAAAGATCTGGACTCTTCCTGGTCTGTATGGCTTAGTTTCACATTGAGGAGTAGTTTTACAAATTGAGCTCCTCGTTGGCCTTCCCTTCATAAGCTGCAGATCATCCCAAACTCTGCAGCTCGTGTACTCTCCGCACCAGGCTCCGTGACCCCATCACTCCCACCCTCGCCCGACTCCACTGGCTCCCAATCCCCCAGAGGATCGAGTTCAAGATCCTCGTCCTCACCTTTAAGGCTATCCATGGCATTGCCCCCTCTTACCTCTCTGACCTGCTGACCAACCTGCCCGCTCCCTCCGTTCAGCGGGCTCCACCCTTCTCTTCGACCGTGCCTTTGGTCTCCCTCCCACCTCTCTGCCTCTCTGCCTTCCCTCACCCCTACACCACCCCTCCCCCATGCTCGGGCCCCAACACCTGACTGTTCAGCGCTTTGGGACGTCCTCCCGACATGAAAGGCGCTCTGTAAATGTCATTTTGTTGTTGAAGGGAACAATTCAATTGGGTTTGGTGAGTGAAGTTTGCCTAGCAGGTCCATAATACTAGCCACAAACAGAGAGAATGTTTTTCATAATTCATTCATACAATAACAGCGTACTTGTGTTTGTGTGCAAATGTTCCAGTTCCAATATGGGGTATAGAAATAAGAGAAAGTCTCCACTAGGTTAGAGTAAAAACACATCTCGTTTTCTTTGGTGGTCACAAAAAGAATTTATAGTCCTGCTCTGTAATTACTTGGAAGACTAATAACCTCAGTAGCCATGTGAGATTGCACATCTTGTTTACAATAGGCCGTAAGTGGAACAGGACTCCAGGAGAGCTTTCTTTCTAAATAGAATATTGGCCAGAAAAGCAGGCAGACTCCATGTTCTTTGTGCCTTGGCCCATGGGAGCTGTATTTTGGTGGGATTTTTATTATACAGACATATTAGATTCATCCTCAGATTAACATGACATCACAAAGGCCAGATCTCAAGACTTTTTTTAATCCACTACAAATCAAAGAGCAGGGTTGTTGAGGGAGGAGGAGCAGAAGAAACAAAGAAATGTTTAACATGTAAGAGTACCCAATTACTACATCTGCGCAGTTCTTAAACAAGCCAAGGCCTTTCAGATTTTTCTCGCATTCATTGTTTTCTCTGTCTGCTGTTGGCAGCTCTCCAGAGGTTTGAATGGAGAGAGAGAGAGAGAGAGAGAGGTGGGGGTGAACTCTACACACTGTGTAGGGTACTCATTTTTCAGTGCCAAGCAAGGTCCTAAGCAAGGCTGTTTTCTAGTTATTTCTTTATATACAATAACAACTTGCATTTATATAGCAGCCTTCACGTGGGGTAGCATCCCGGAACGCTTGGCAGTAGCGGAGTCTAACACCGAGCCAGGGGAGAGGGAGGCGGGAGGTGACTATAAGCGCAGTCAAAAAGGAAGGTCTTTCGGCAGGATTTGAAGGTGGGGATTGAGGCGGTAAGGTGGAGGGATTGAGGGAGAGAGAATTCCAGAGTTTCAGGGCTTAGTGGCTGAAGGCACGGCCACCGATGGAGTAGTACATTTAATTCAAGCTGGTCTTTCAGCCTTCACATTGTGTATTCTGGTCATTACCCTGTTCCTTCTTCAGCACTCATCACTACTCATTCAAGTCTCTCTTTCTCAGGGCAGGGGGGAACAGGCTCCTCTCCAAAGCCATATGAATGTCACTGTAACAAATTGGAAGTATAGAGAATCAACAGAATGTTCATTCCCTCCTAGAAAACAAGCCTAGCTTTTTTTAAAAAAAAAGTAATATCTTCTCAGAAAAGCTGGGTTTAATTTATAGAGGTTGTAACACGTCTCAAGAATGGATTTCGTCTACAATTTGTTGCTCATCTTAGAGCAAGCTGAGAGACAATGCATTGGATCCTTTTTGTACAGAATATGTGGAGTCCTGTGGTGGTTAGCGTACTTGCCTCGCAAACGAGAGGACCCGAGTTCGATTCCTGGGAGGGCCAAACGAACCCTTAGGTGAGTTTCCTTACTCAACACACCTCTGTTTACCTAGGAGTAAGTAGGAGCCTGGTTGTTAGTCGATTGCTGCATCGCTTTCTGGGGTTATACTTCATGCTCACCACCCCCTCATTAACATTGTACTATATTTAAAAGTGCTATCATTTTTGAATATGTTCAATGAACAAGAGTTTGCAGGGTGCAAACCCAGGCTATAAAAACATTCATCTGTGAGGAAAACTGAGTTTTCAGAGAGCATGAATGAGTGTGAGAAACTGATCTCACTCAAACACACACAAGAGTACTTCCTTCTATTTGCCTCCTATCTGTATGACTGAGAACTGAAATCCTGGTTTGAGAGGTGTCTGTTCCAAGGCAGTCTGTCAAATACACCTACGGGTAAGCAGTACACACCGAACAGGCTCAAGGAATTACCCTGGATGCAGCTAAAAGTGGTAGATACCTTGAACACAAGTAGACAAGGCAGAGTATTTGATAAATCTGAGCCATACAAATAGATAGAAACTCACTTTAATGAGTTTTTTTCCTGCTAGTATCTTGAAATCCCCCCCCACCACCCACACATTCCCACAACACAATTCAAGCACCAAGCATTAGATGGAACACAAAAGATGCTTTTGTGAAAATTGAGAAAACTCAATCTGGTTTAGACTTCGGGTCAGAAGGTTGAGTCTTTAAACTCAGTCTAGCCTGACACTCCAATACAGTGCTCGGGAAGTGCTGCATTGTGGAGATGCCACAAGACGTTAAACCAAGTCTACCCGTTGAGGAAGATATTAAAGATCCTCTGACACCTTTCAAAAAGAGAAGGAAATTTCTCCTGGTGCCCTGGTCTCTGCATCAGCACAACAACATCAGGGACTCAATATGGTGGTAAACCACCGGTACATATCTTTTAATACAATTCCAATTGCTCAATGACAAATTATAGAAACAGATTTAAAATGTTATCAAATGATTTTACTTACTTATAAGAAGGTAAGTTCCCTCCACGCAAACTAAAGTCAAATGAAAATCTGTACATAAATCGGGTTCAAAAAAAGCAGCTGTGGTTTATCTAGATTGTATTATAAATTAGGTGTCTCTTCACATTCCTTGCATCGGAGAATGTGAATGTTCAGTGGAAGCTGATGGGATTCCTGAAGGTTTTATCTCAATAACAGATGGCGTGTAAAACACCACTTACTATTCAGCCAAATAAGTGTGATTTATTGTAGTTGTGGGAGTGGGAGAGAAAGAGGGGGAAATCAAAGGGATAATTACAAAACATTTCTAGGATAAAAAAATTCAATACTTGACTTCCTAAATGGATCAGAAATCACTCCTTGATCTCAGAACTCTTATTCGAACAAGTAGCTCCCGCCATTCGTGAAACTCGGGATAAGTGTAGTGCAAGATCCTGAATGACAGTCGGGTTTTCAATACAGATCATTACAGTTCCTTCATCGATGCAATATCATCACAAGCCTTTGTGCTCACAGTGAAAACCAGTAAGAGCAAAGTCTACTTGTATGTCTTTGTAGCAGACTAAGGACAAAAATATCCACAAAATCCAGGGAGTAACTTGATATGCCTCACTTTCAAAGGATTGCTAGCAGCCAGAGGACAGACTGAAGGGCATTTCTGTCAACATCCCAGCAGTTGGGCAGTGCTGTAATCACAGTTATCTGCGACTCAGTCAGAGGATGGTGGAAAGAAGGTTCCTCAAATCAGTTTTCTTTCAAATTTAGAACTTGAACCCAGAGTGAATAGCCACAATCCCTGATGTCAAGTTGCTGTATTCCACCTTGTAAAAGCCGGCGTCCTCAATCATTGCTCTGAACTCCTCCTGGGAAGAGAAAGTTACAAATTGTAAAGTGAAGCAGCTTTTTATAGAACAGTAAAAGTGTACAACAACAACTTGCGTCTATGTAGCACCACTTTACAGGGGGCAGCGTCTCAGAATGCTTACAGCGCAGAAGGCGGCCATTCAGCTCATCATGTCTGTGCTTGCTCTTTTAAGAGCAATCCTTTCAGTCCCATTTACCTGCCCTTTCCGTGCACTCCTATTAGGGTTTTCTCTGGTCCACTTCTGAAAGCTGTTATGGATTCTTCTTTACCATTGCTTCTGGCAGGGCATTCCATTTATACATTAAAAAAATTTGATTCAACTTTAAAAATAATCTAGAATCCAAGATCGTTCAAAAATAAATCTAGCATTTTCTGGATAAGCTTTGGCTCATTTTACCTCAAAATTCCAGGATATCAATCTGAGCACCTTCCCATTGCGGCATAAGATCATAATAATATTAATAACTACTAATAATCCTTAGATTTTGGAATAATAATAATAATCCTTGCATTTGATATAGCGCCTTTCACGTCTTCTAGATGTCTCAAAGCGCTTCACAGAATATACTGTAAAGTGAATTGACTGTATATCTATGGGCAAAACACAGCAGCCAATTGCGCACAGTAGTTAGTATAGCGTCTTATCAAGTCGCCGAGATGTCTCAAAACGCTTCATAGGATATACTGTAAAATACAGTGACTTGTGTATTTTTTGGGTGAAATTATAACAAAATAAAGTTAAGTTTGCAGTGAATCCCATGAAGTGCTTTGAGATACGAAAAGCACTAAATCAAACGCAAGGTATTTTTTATTAAAACTTTAGACACTGATTAATTTTACGTTGTGCAACAGTAATGTCACCTGCTCAGGAAAACGGTGGATACTTTCTACCAGGTACTGGTAGGATTTCCAGTCTGCGGCGATCACCTCACCCAAGACAGGGATAACTTGGAAACTGTACAAATCGTAGAGCCTGGGAAGAGAACAAAAGTTACTCCATGTTGAAGAAAAGTCTGAAGTTGAACCAAAAATACAGGTGGCACCGAGTTCCAGTGATATAGTGTGTTGGACACAGGTTTATATACACAATTGCCCACAAACTGAATTACTGGTACAGCTGTTCCTTTTGAGGTGACACAAAGCAGTCAAATCCATTCTCCTCCACAGCTGCATCCAAATGCTTCAACGGTTGAGATCAGCCAAGTCCCCTGCAATTTAATCCTCCAACCTTCTGGTCTGTAAGACTCAGTACTACGGTATACCGATCTTAGGTTCAATTCTGCGAAGCTGGATTGTGGGCAAAGGAGGCTCTCAACACCTGGTAGAGATCAGCATCGAAGGTTAGCCTGGGTATCTGCAACATTCGCTATTTACAAATCAATTTAGCAAATTTCCCTCCAACCCACCCCACCACACTAAGTTAGAGTATCCTCTGACAGCAACATAGATTTACTGCAGCACCTGGAAATAATTGGGTTCTGTACTCTGCTGAACTCCAGACAAAGGAACCTTCCACCTGGTTTCAAAACCCGATAGGCCTCCTGTAACACCTGGGATAAGGAGACGGAAAACAATCAACTTTTGAGCCAATTTCCAGTGTAATCAATTTATAATTCCTTTAAAATAATAATAAATTGGTCACTCAATCCACAACTGTTTGTGGGACACTGCTGTGCGCAATTGCCTGCTGGGTTTTGCCCACAAAACACATAGTCAATTCACTTTACAGTTTATTCTGTGAAGCACTTTGAGACATCTCAAAGATGTAATAAGGGGCTATATCAAACGTAAGGATTATTATTATTACAGGGGAGAGCCCAGAACATTTCAAATGCCTCAATACACTCATCAAAAGAGTTTTAGACTAGGTAAGACTTTCCGTCTCCCTGAGATAGATAACAAATGCCAACACTGGTGGAAATTAAAATTGTTTTGTAACTGTATTGTTGATACTGTAATTTTCAGGTGGGGGATGAGAGGGCAGAAAAGACACCTTGTTTGCACTGACCTGATCTATATGGGTAACGTTTCGGATTCCAAAGGCAATTGTGTAAACATCAAACTTATCATCATCAAATGGCAGCTCTTCAGCATTGCCTACCACCCAGGACAGGCCTGCAGAGAACCATGGAACAAATGCAAAGTTTAGACAGTACATCGGGAGTGTCGGGGTCAAAGTATCTCGAACATAGACTCTCTCTGTCTTTTCTAATCTTCTAAAACATTTTTCTGCTAAAAAANTCATTTAATATTTTGAGCACTACACTGGAAGTTCCGAGACGGAATCCATATTGACTTTTAAGAGGGAACTTGATCAAATATCTGACAAAGAGAAATATAAAATGGTATGGGGAGAGGAGTAGGTGGGACAATGGGACTAAATGGATAGCTCTTTCAGAGAGCCATGACAGGCTGAATGACCGGCTTTTATGCTATACATACCTAGTTCTGTGGAAAGCTAGTTTTTGATAGAATATTCCTAACTCAAGTGCAGAGACTGAAAAAGGAGGCTTTTACTATGGAGGATGTTCTAACTGTCATGAGCCTTGGGACATCCTTCTGACCTGAAAGGCGCTCTATGAATGTAAATTTAAAATATATAATTTGTTGTTGAAAAATACAATCCTGCTGCAAATGTGGTAGAAAGATGACAACTTGTGGAGGCTCCTGGAAGCAATGAATTTTAATAATGTACCCAAACGAAAAGTCTCATCTTTTATCTGCTGCGTACCATCCGTGTAGTTCAGCTGTTCTGCTTTTTGCCTTCCAAACTTTAACATCTCCTTATTAATGTCACAGATCACTGCCTTTGATCTCAAATGAGTATCGTTGTCATCTTGCTGTTGATACAACTTGCTGATATCTTGCCACGATGGACTCTGATAAGACTTCATCTCTTGCCGGCTTCGCCGTTCTTGTTGTGATCTGACATAATCAATAAACCGGAAGGCTATGTCCCCTGCAGAAACACAGGAACACAAACTAACCTTAATTCATCACGCTATTAAAAATATTGCAAGATTCCAGAGCTCTTATTAAATAACAATAGCGTTATTGCTTTAACTTTATGTCATTTAAATCAAGCAATTCAGCTGATTTTGTAAATGATGAGCATGAACTTCAAGCTACCTTTAAATCTTGTGAAATGTCAATCACATTTAGACTCAGTACAAACTGTAAAGTAATAGAGTGAGTCGTGGCCAAGTTAATGAAAATGTGATAATTATACAATACAATCTACATTTGTATAGCACCTTTCATATGTGAAGGATGTCTTAGCGTTTGACAATATTGGGTGGACACTAGAGCTGGGGGGTAGGAGCTGACTGGAGTGGAGAGGGAAAGATGCACGACAGCACCACCAATTTGCAAGGAACAGGTCACTTAAATACACAGAACTCTACAATTTGTATGTTAAATTACAAATACTGCTTAAGTTGATATTTTTCTGGGTTGGGGGGGGGGGGTAAGAAAGAGGAAGAAATAATTGTATCCCCTTGCTTGGAATCTTCATCACCACTTAAGATCATAGGTAGGGGGGTGTGGAGCATAATCAATCAGTGCAATTTACACACCTGTACCACCTGCCACGTCAAGCAATTTTGTCCCTGGCATTGGATTCATCTTATAAAGAAGAGCATCTTTCCACAGCCGGTGAATGCCAAGGCTCATGGCATCATTCATTACATCGTATCTTTTGGCAACATTTTCAAACACTTTGTAAACTGTGATGAGAAAACACACTATTGGTTACACCACACATTAGAATACATTAGAATATACAGCACAGAAACAGGCCATTTGGCCCAACTGGTCTATGACGGTGTTCATGCGCCCATGAGCCTCCTACTGCCCTTCCTCAACTAAGCCTTCAAGCATAGCCTTCGAAGGACATTACATCACACGTAGCTGTTTAAATGTGTGGTCTGCAACACCATCACATTAAGATCCATAAAAGAACCATGTCATATATACTAGGAAAATTGCAGGTACAGTTCCTAGTTTGTGCTGAAAGTGGATGAACCAGGATTCCAGAAAAACATAATACTTGCATTTGATATATTACTACGCCACCTCGCCAAGTGCTTTGCAATGTCTTGACAACACGATAAGGCACTATATCAACTGCAAGGGTTATTAATAAATAAGGATTTTTGCTCCTCGATTCCCCCCCACCCCCGGAAAGCACCAACAAATGCAAGTTCACAGTTGCCCGAGCCTATATTCTCACATACCCTAAAACCATTCTCATGTGTAAGTGTTAGCAAACTTTGACCATGGTGGGAGGTTAGGGTGGAGAAGACAGAGAATATTAAGCTCTGATCAGGTCATTACCCAACATTCACAAACGAGTACAGCATCAGCATCCAAGGCTGCACTCTCCACCTCTCAAAGCCAGTCAGGAACCTCGGGGTTCTGTTCGACCCTGAGCTGTCCTTTCTCCCTCATATCCGCGCCACAACTGGCACTGCCTTCCATCACCTCCGGAATGTCGCAAGACTACGGCACTACTCACCCCTCACGCTGCTGAAACTCTGGTCCACGCCTTTATCACCTCAAGGCTGGACTATGGGAACTCGCTCCTCGCCGGCCTTCCCGGCACCTCCCTCCACACTGCAGGTCATTCAGAACTCTGCAGCTCGTGTACTGTCCCGCACCAGACTTCGGGAACACATCACTCCCACCCTCGCTCGCCTCCACTGGCTCCCCATCCCCCAAAGGATCGAATTCAAGATCCTCAACCTCACATACAAGGCCATTCACGGCCTTGCTCCCTCCTACCTCTCCGACCTACTATCCCCCTACCGACCTGCCCGTACCCTCCGTTCCTCTGGCTCCGGTCTGCTCCACATCCCCCGCCCCAACCGCCCTACCATCGGTGGTCGGGCCTTCAGCCTCTCAGCCCCGAGGCTCTGGAACTCTATCCCCCAGTGCCTTCGCCGCCTCCTCCCTTTCCTCCTTCAAGGCCGGTCTCAAGACCTTTCTCTTTGACCTTCAGCCTTCAGCTCCCCTCTCGACTCTCTACCCCCTCCTCGCCCCCTCCCTTCCCTCCCCCTGACCATTTCCCCCCAATGCTCGGGTCCTGACCCAACTGTCCAGTGCCTTGGGACATCCTCCCAACGTGAAAGGCGCTCAATAAATGGAATCTTGTTGTTGTTGTTGTTGTTTCAGCAGGTTGACAGGTTACTGATCAGGAACTTTGCTCGATTTCTTCCCCACTCATGTATAGAAGGGTCGAGATAATTCATTTTAAAGTTCAAACAAACACGTACGTACGCGCACCAGCAACCGCCTATGGACACATAGAAACGCGTACGTACACACACAATAATATAATAATAATCCTTGCATTTGATATAGCGCCTTATCACACAGACAAGTAGAAACACACACAAGTGCACACACTCACAGACACACACATACACAATGTGACCGCCTCCGAATAAACTGAGAGTCAGGCAACGCCCCGCGACTGAAGTACCACCTCACTCAGGGCACAAAAGCCTCCGGTAGGGTTCCCGAATAAAACAAGCAGTAACATACAATAAAATAAGAGTCGGGTTCCCGCCGGACACGAATCCCCCCCCGAGGCCCAGTAACCGCCTGAGAGCCGAACTCAAACCCCCTCCTCGGACCCGCACCTCTCTCCGCCTTTTCCGATTCAGAGACGGTTTCAAACCCGAAGTGAGTTTGCTTTTCCTTGGCGTCGGTGCAATAATTCCCGGCGGCGGCGGCGGCGGCGGCCCCACGGCGGCCGTTCTGGGTGTAAAAGCCACTCTGACAGCGGGAACATGTCACAAACGGCCTCAGCCACCGGGAGGCCGCCATCTTGCCACTGACCCCGCCCACTGACCCCAGCAATCACTTCCGGGGCGTGTCACCTGGCTCTGCTCTGCTCTGGACACCTGACATTGGCCCCAAAGGTCCAACATCATAATAATAAATAATGGTAATAATAGTGCGGCAATAATAATCCCTCCATTCGATACAGCGCTCTGTCGCGTCGTCTCGAAGCGCCTTCGAAGGTTACACTCCAAAACGGCTAAGTTTGTGGGCTGATGTAATAAGTGGTACAATCGTAAAATCCTTCTGTTCGATGTTACGTAAAAACCTGCACCTAATTTGCACACAGCAATGTTCCACAAACAGCCACGGACGGAGTGAATGATTGATGAGGCCAGGACACCAGGAGAAACTTCCTTCTCTTTTTGGATAGTGCCATGGGATCTTTGGAGTCCACCCGAACAGGCGGGTTTAATGTCACATCCAAAGGATGGCACTTCTGACAATGCAATATACCCTCAGCACTGCGTTGGGAGTGTCAGCTCTTAAAACTACGTGAGTTCAATTCCCAACGGGGTGTTTGAACTTCTCAGTCAGAGGCGAGAATGCCTACCGCTGAGCCAGGTTGTCAAGACAAGTTTTGGGGGAGTGTAAAACCAAGTACCGTGACCAAGTGGATAAGAACATTGTGCCTTAAGATTTCAACTTCCAATCACAGTCCGTGCTTAATCATCTGATCTCGGATTAGGAGCTGCAGTGGAGGTCCGTTAGCCTGGATGTTTTTTTAAAAGAAATCCATGGCACTGTTAGAAAAGCGAAGAGGAGCTTGCACATTTGTTCTGAAGGGTCTTATTTCAAGAGAGAAATTACTCTCCCTGCATCCCCCCCCCCAAAAAAAGGAAGCGTGTTATAAAATCGGGTCCTGTCGTGCAATCGGGCAGTACAATCGATACGTCTGAACGACTTGATAAGGCGCCATATCGATCGCAAGTATTATTGTTGTTATTGCAACAGCTCCTTATTTAATTGAAGGGGGGAGTGGTGGGGGGGAGTGGTGGTGGGAGGGAGAGAGTAGCTCTGTGTTGTAATCACAGGAGGGAGCATGACGTAGGCACAAGATGGGCAAGGAGGGTGCGTATGTGTGTGTGTGTGTGAGAGAGAGCGACAACCGATCACGTGATGAGCAAGTCGCCCCGCTATTGGCTGCGCGTGCCTTGAGGGGGGCGGGGCGCGGACGAAATAGAGACTACAATTCCCAGAAGCCATCGCTGTCACCGGGGGCCAGTGCGCAGGCGCCAAGCCCCCCCCCCCCCCCTCCAGCCTCTATAAAAGCGGCTCCATCCGGGTGCCCGGGGTTCCTGTCTGGCGATTCGTCGCCATTACTGTCGGGGGAGGAAAGCGGAGAAGGAGGCGGCGCGGGAGGAGCAGCTGTTGCTTCTTCGACGGGGCCGGTGCCGTCGTTTTAACAACCGATTTTTTTTAAAAAGAAAAAGCGGACGGTCGGTCGGTCGGTGGGTGGGGGGGCAGAACAGGAACGATCAAAGCCGGGACTCCCGCTCAGGCCTCTCAAAAGCCTGTACCCCCCCACCACCACCCGGCCCGCCCGGCCCGGCCCGTCCTGCCCGCCCGCCCGCTCCCCGCCTCTCTCTCCCCCCCTCTCTCTCTCTCTCTCTCCCCCGTCCCCTCCTCCTGTTTCGAAGCGATTTTTTTCGCCATCTTAGTTTTATTTTGGTCACGATGCAGAGGTCGCCATGATGAAGAGGCCCCTTAGTAACGCGATGCCCTGCGACAACCCGGTTGGCACAACCAGCCCCGCCGTCCTCCCCGCTGAGCCGCTGGAAGCCGATGCTAGAGAATCCAGACATGGAGAAGAAGTCTGCGCGTTCCTCCTCGGCGGGGCCCGGCAAGGCGCCGCCCTCCGAATGTAAAGCCAAGCCAGGTAAGGCTGGATGGCGCCGCTCCCTCCCTCCCTCCGCACAGTCTGACAGGATTTATGCTTACATCCTCCTCAGCTCAACCCTCTCCATCCCTCCCCTCCCCCCACACACTCACACACACACTCACACACACGCACACACCCCCCCCCCACACACGCACACACCCCTCCCACACACACGCACACACCCCCACACACACGCACACATACATATACACACACAACACCCCCCCCCACACACACACATACATACACACACACATACGTACATACACACACATACATACACCATACACACATACACACACACACACATACACACACATACACACACACATACACACACACATACACACACACACATACATACACACACACACACAATAGTGGAGTCCTGTGGCTCAGTGGTTAGAGGTGAGAGCACTCGCCTCAGCTTTTCAGGGGATAATAATTACTCCCCCCCCCCCCCCCCCAAAAAAAAAACACCCCGATCATAATTTGCTCATTTCGATCCACGGCCGTTTGTGGGAGGCTGCCGCGCACAGTTGGCTGCCGCGTTTCGCCCGCAAGTGTACGGTGGCTTCACTGAGCGGTATATTCTGTGAAGCGCTTCGAGATGTCTAGAAGACGTGAAAAGGTGCTCGATCAAACGCAAGGATTACATTATTATTATGTAATAATCCGTGCATTTTGACATAACGTCTTGTTGAGATGTCTCAAAGTGCTTCACAGGATCTACTGTAATCTACTGATTAGTTTGTTGACTGACCAAAGACATTGGCCACCACTCCTGTAGGGGGTTAACTCTGTTAATGCCACATCAGCTTTAAAGGCAGGATAATTATTACTATTAGGTGGTAACGTAGGCCCATAATAATTATTTTTAAGTAATTTGGTGGCTTTATTTTTTTTCTTGTGTCCCTCCATTTTTTCACCTGAAAGGATTTTAATAATTGTACATTTGATGTAGTGCTTTGTGTTGTCAGTATCTTGAAAGCGCTTTGCAGTAATTACTGGAGAGTGCAGTCATTTTGTAGACAGTCCATTTGCTGCACAGCCATGTCCCATGCGAACTACCATGAAGATCTGCTTCATGCCTGAGTATGATTTAATGGGTACTGTGCCCTCATCAGCTGTGGGGAGTCTAATCCAATGCAGTTGTCACCTGATGTATACAAACACTTCCCTGAATGGGCACATAGGCATTCCTCTAACAGCAGAGTTGGCGCAATTCTGTTACCGCTTACAAAGAGATTGGCCAAGTCAACAGATTGGGAACCGGATTGAGTCTGGTTAAGCTGATTCTAAATGAAAACACTCGGTTAAGCACAGATACCAAGAATGTTTTCTTTAGCCGGAGGGTAAGTAACTGGAACAGGTTGTCAAGAAGGGTAGTTGAGACAAGGCCACTGGACTCAGTGATATTGTGATGGTAGGATGGGTATTCTGGAGGGAAGAGATCTTGTGTTTATCTGCCACATGAGCACCCACCCTTCCCGTTCCCCTCACCTATTCCCCTCGATTTCCTTCTCCCTCTTATATGCATCATTTGGCCCATCAAACTGTGTTAGTTTTTTTGTCCACATGAGTCTCCTAATCTAATCCTGCTAGTTGCCCATTTCTGGTAGGTTTAGTCAGCATTTTAGTTTTGATCTGGACTTGAATCCCACTGTGGCTGAACTCTGGTAGCATGCTGGAGTTCAACCCACAAAACAGTTGCAACTTTACAGAATATATTGTGTAAAGCACTTTGAAACTTCCTCCTGTCGCTTTGTCAAATGCAAAGATTATTATTCTCGCTTGTGACTGGAATTGTTTTTGAAAAATTAACAGATCCTAGGTCAGGGCAAGATGTGTTAATTTAGGTTGATACTACATTGTGGTGATTGGGGAAATGTATTAGGTTTTAAAACACTTCCGAGTAGAATTTGAGGATCATTTATCAGTGAAGGTAATCTGTTTGTCTCCTCTGCGTTCTCTCCTTGTGGTGTGCAATATTGCCATTGAAAGGATGTGCATCTTTTTCTGACTATTACTGGTGATTGGCTATGTGAAGGAGAAGGCTTATTGGCTGAAGGGCTGTTACTATGATGGCGCAAAAATCCCACTGAATATAGAATGTTTGTTGTGAGACTTGTGCGTAGTGAAGATAAGAACTGAATACATTTGAAATGGGTAGTCAGATGCTGATTAGGCAGCTCAGTAAATAGCTGATACATTTGAGCTATTATGTTGGGGTTTGGGGTTTAAATTGTTATTTTAGTAGTTTAATTTGCTTTCAAAATTTGTTAAAAAAAATTATCTTTTAAGAATAAAAACAAATTGCTTTGGGGCTTTTGAGCCACCCGTTACATAACTTCCATTTATATAGCGTCCTTCGCATCAGTAACAGCTTCAAGCATTTCACAGTGGATGTTGAGCAAGGCAAAGGGAGGAAAGTGGTGCCCGTAGATTTGGGTAAAGAGATAGGTTATAGGGTGGGATTTAAAGACTGATGAGGAGGTGAGCTGTCTTGTTGGAAAAACAGTTTACCTAAATCATATGTAGACTGAAATAATCAAATTGTTCCTATTGCTGCCTATCAACCTTCCATCCCCAACTGAAACAGTCCAACTAAGGTCTTTTTACAGCCTGGACTAACCTCTTTTCTTCACTACTTTATATTGACACCTTAAATTGAGATTGGAATTAGAAGTCAGTAATCAAGAATGTTTGGTTGTCTCTGCAGACGGTAAAGGTGGAAATGGATCAAGACGCTACAACAAAAAACGAGACCCAACTTTTCCCAAAAACGAAAATGTATGTAACCAGGCCCGCCGCCCCAACCCACAGAAAAGCAAAGCTTTTGACAAGAGACCTCCAGCTCGCGGTGGCAACAAATCCTTTAGCACTTCTGGTAATGGTGGGAGACGAGAAGAGGTGAGGATTATTATTATATTATTAAGGATGAGAATTGTTAATGTTGAAGTTATTGAACTAGTGATGTGATTTCACCAGTGAATGAAACCTGAAGCATTTGGCTGAATTTTTGAAATGTTAGTCTGATGGAGTGTTAAACTGGCTTTGCTGGATTTATTCGGTGAATAACAACCATACTGACACAGAAAGTTCCATATTTGATCCCCAGATTATAGAGATGGATGGACAATCAATGAGCCAGCATTATTTTTGCTCCTCATCACTATTCATGAATTGGAAGATTTAGACCTAGTTTCTGCATAGGTAATCTCTAAATTTTGATCTGGGAATCCCTGCAGGCAAATATTTGTCCATGGCGTGGGTAAAGGCTTTGGATTTTACTGCTTTTTATTGTGATTTGTTGCTCAGGGTTTTGCATGATTAATGGTCACTTAGGGGAACTATCATAGGATTTCCTTCAATCAAACTGTACATCAGCCACTACTGAATCGCTATTTTCAGGGAGAAGAGAGGCAAGTCGTGTTTACGTTGATTCATGTGTTGAAAGATGAATTGCTTAAATCCTAAACTTTCACACCCTCTTATTCACAGGTAGCAGAGGTGCAAAGGGCAGAGTTTGGTCCTGTCCAATTTACTGGTCCGAAGAAAATAAGCCTAAACCACTTGTTAAATTTTACATTTGAGCCACGTGGACAGTCTGGCTTTCACTATGATGGTTGTGTCAATGGAGGCTGGGGAAGAAGAAATAAGTGGGGACATAAGCATAAGCCCTTCAACAAAGAACTGTTTTTGCAGGCCAAGTAAGTGAGAAGAGGAGCAGCAAATGTGCAGTGGATATAAAAACTCGCTCATGGCGTGAATGGTCAGACATATATATGGCTTTGAGGCATTCAATACACTTCATCTCCCAAGTATTTTATATCTGAAAAGAATAATACCAATTCCTTGAATTTCATGGTTTACACTCACACTGGTGTATCCACATTTCTTAGTTACAGAGAAGTACGTTAGACTTTACACTGCCTCGTGAGGGTAGATTAGATAATTTATTTAATTCTCTTTGAGAAAATCCCAATTAAGGGCTGGCGATCTATTACCATACAATACAAAATTACATTTGTATTGCGTCTTTGATGTCAGGAGGACGTCTCAAGGTGCTGGACAGTCAGGGATTTGGCCAAGAGGAGGTTTTTGAGACGCGCCTTGAAGGAGACTGGGAAGGGAGTGAGGCGGAGGAGTGTGTGATGGAGTTCTACGTGGTCGGGGCTGGAGTTCCCCAGGGTGGGGGCAGAAAGGCTGAAGGCCCGATCGCCGATGGTGGGGTGGGCCAGGTGGGGGATGTGGAGCAGGTCCCAGCTTGCTGAGTGGACAGGTTGATATGGGGTCAGCAGGTCGCAGGGGTAGGGAGGAGCAAGGCTGTGGAGGGCCTTGAAGGCAAGGACAAGGATTTTGAATAGTATCCTGTGGAGCCTAGCGAGGGTGGGGGTGATGGGGTTACGGAGCCTGGTGTGGGAGAGGGCATCGCTACAGAGTTTCTGGATAATCTGCAGCTTGTAGAGGGAAGAGTTGGGAAGACCGACAAGCAGGGAGTTGGCATAGTTGAATGCGTGGATGAGGGTGGGAGAAGGATGCTTAATCTAGTTGCTAGGAAAAGCATGAGAGTAGATTAAGTTACTGTTCCAGTCGATTATGTTACTTTTCCAGCACTCTGCTGGTTCTGACTTTATATGGACTGTTTATCATATTTAACTGATTCAATCCATGCAACGTTTTCAGATTGCGATTGAGGGGTGGGAGAGAAGGTGTGTTGTAGATGCGATAGTGAGCTGTTCGAGGGAGATATATTGTGAGACTGATTTTTACCCACGGCGTTCCTAATTTAACATTTGGTTTTCCCCGGTTATTTATTCAAGCTGCCAGTTTGTGGTCTCTGAAGAGGAAGACTACACAGTTCACTTTGTGGATCCGGATATGTTAGTGAACTGGGATTTTGTACAGCAGGTCGTAAGTATCAGTGCAATTTAAGTTTGCAGAGTTTGGTTTTCTTAAGTTAGCAAGTATTGAGGGACATTTGTGGTTTCTCAGACTTGAAATAAAATCCTGTTATACCCATCAAACCAAAAATATTTTGCTGGAGGAGTAGATGGAATTTCTGCAGTATCCACATTTCCCAGCAGTTCAGTTCATAGCTGAAGTCCAGGCGAGAATGCTGCAAAATGAGTCAAATTCCTCATGTGGCATTTGGACCACTTTGCTCCCAGCAGTTGTCTATAAATGGCTAGTTAGATTCCAAGTGTCGATTATAGATCTTGTGTGTCAAAGTAGTAATTGGTATTATCGTGGATGGAGGTTGCATAAATAGGTAGGATGTAAGATGGCCTAGTTTGATGTGGGTTACCTCGATCTTTGAAGTTCACGCTGCACAAATAGTTTTCTTCAAGTCAACACCCTTGCTTACCTATCTGATCTAACATGATTGAGAGCTATGTTACAATAGCTCTGCTAGCTTAATTTCTCTGCTGGTTGTAACATATAATGCTGACTTGCCTAAGGAACTAGAGATGTAGCCTGGAGGTGTAATGTAGTTGAATCTGTGCACTAGTGCATCAAAAGTTTTTTGTTTGATTTTGTTTTCCCCCTTGAAGGAAGGCCCCAAATATATTTTCTCAACAGAAGGCAGATAGGGGGAATTTCTTTTCCTTGTACCCTGAGGAAAAATAGGCTTAGGAGACCCGTGAGGATATTGACTTTTGTGTTAACAACTTTAATCTTGCTTCCTGCGAGTGTGGTTTTACAAAATGTGAATTTCTTTCATAGCGTATTTACAGTCACGAAGTTCCTTCATGCCCAATCTGCCTGTATCCTCCGACTGCTGCTAAGATAACTCGCTGTGGTCATATATATTGTTGGGCATGTATCCTCCACTATTTATCTCTGAATGAAAAAACCTGGGGCAAGTGTCCTATCTGCTACGAGGAAGTGCATACGAAAGACCTCAAGAGGTGAGCTTCTGAGATTTCTTTCAATCAACTTTGTAGCAAGTTTCCAGTTATCAAAGTAGTGTGGGTCCAATGAATTTCAGGCTTCACAAGTTTCTAATTTGTAATAAAAAAAATAATCCTTGCATTTGATATAGCGTTTTTCACGTCTTCTCGACGTCTCAAAGCGCTTCACAGAATAGACTGTAAAGTGAATTGACCATATATTTATTACGTCTTTGAGACGCTGCAAAGCGCTTCACAGGATATTTTGTAAAGCGAATTGACTGTATTTTGTGGGCAAAATACCCACAGCAATATCCCACAAACAGTCGTGGATTGAGTAACCAAATTTATTTTTTGGAGGGATTATTACCAATCAATTATAAACCAGAGTTTATATCCAATATGATAGTAGGATATTGTTCCACTACAATGACATGAAATACTTTGCTTAGTTGCCAAGAATCCATGCGTAAGTTGTATTTAGGTGATCTTGCATCCTGGAATGGAGCATATATATGTAGAGTGCTTTTACGTTTCCTGCTGGGTACACAGTGTTTTGTTTTCTCTCTCCTCAGCCCTGTTTATTATAAGGGATTGCTGTTAATGCATTGCACGGCTATTTTTGAGTGTTAAGTGTGCAGGGTGAGCAGGTCCGAAGTCCTCTGATAAGCCAGAGTTTGAGCGCAGTGAAAGTCACCTTTCAGACATGTGGCAGGTGCAGCTTTACTGAGTAGGGCTCTTTCAAATGTTTGCCTAATATTGTATTTAAGTCAGTAAATCAGTTTGCGGTGTTTTTTCATGGTGAGTCATTTATTTACTTTGTCTTTTCTGCCGGTCCCTACACACCATAATCAATTTGGTGGGTGACCTGCTCCAAGTCATCTAATTGACCTTAGGGAGGTGCATGCTGCAATTGTTCTAAATGCAATTCACCTGGTAACCAACCACACTGAACTAAGTTGACCTGAGAATCATTTTATTCTCCTTCATGTCATTTTTTTAAATTTAATTTTATTGTCGATGTGAGAGCTAAACTGTATACGTGAGTGCCGTATGAGTTAAAGACCAGGTAATGATGCTTCATGCAACTTTATGGTATGTTTTATTTCAGTGTTGTTGCTATGGAGAGCCACCAGCACAGCGTGGGGGATACGATAACCATGCAGTTGATGCGCAGGGAGAAAGGCGCCCTGATTGCTTTACCCAAATCCATGTGGATGAAAGTCGAGGAACCAATTCGCTTGGGAGGTGTGTATTAGATAAATGTGCAAAACGTTCAGTCCAAAGTATTTTGTTTACATAATCCTTTCAACTATTCGTATCGGTTAACATTTCTTAATTCAGTTTCGCCCACTAAATATACAGTCGATTCACTTTACAGTGTATTCCATGAAGCACTTTGAAAAGTCTCAAAAAGACGTGATAAGGCGCTATATCAAATGCAAGGATTATTATTATTAAATTCTATATGCTAACCAAAGAAATATAACCTTACAGTCACTATATCTCAAAATGCTGTTGTATCAAATTCAAAACCTTCCTATTGACAATTGAAGGGAAGTTGAAGCTAGATCTGCATTCAAGTGTGGCAAGGCTGGATCATGTAGTACTGAAGGCCATTAAAGAGATGTTAAAGTTAGTCACAAATTTAATGTTTTTTTTAATTCTCCCTGTAATAACAACAATCCTCAGATTTGATTAAGTGCCTAATGACATTGTTGAGATGTTTCGAAGCATTGACTGTGTTTTGTGAGCGAAACGTGACATCCAGTTGCCAACAGCCTCGGAGTCAGTGATCAATTTTATTTGAGGGATTGTTGGCCAGGAAGCTGTAAAATGCTACTTTTCAGCCAACCAACTATTAGTCTTCCTTTTGGAATTGGGGTGCATACGGCAAGACTCATTTGGTTGCCTTGCTGATCCAAAGATGTGTTCTAGCTGCTAAATTATTTCTAAGGTTTTGCAGGGCACGCTGACAATTTTATTCCGCATTATTTAAATTGTAATTTTTTCTCTACATATTGCATCTTCTGTGACCTCATCTGTACGGGCTGGTAGATGAAGAACACAGCCAGTATTCTAAACTGCTCTTGGCTTCAAAGCAGCAAGTCCTGAAGTATGTTATTGAAGAAGAGCGAGCAGCTTTGCTCAGACAGTACGAGGAAGAGAAGAGTACACCTGAAGCTTGTTTTATTGAATCCGCAATCGAGGAGCTTAAGGTACGAAATCTCCCTGTTTTCCCCAGTGACGTGTTCTCTGTCGTCAGCAAGTCCCTGAAGTATTTTCGGTGGAGCAGTGAGATGTAATACAAAAGAATTAGGAGTTTGTCTTTTGCTGTTACGATGGAGACATTGATACCGTTGCTGTTCTACTGCAGTGTCAGAATGTTATTGCCTTATCTTCAAGGCAGTAGCTCACTTGGGGTATGGGATCAATCCCTTGACCCTCATACCCTCACCCTCCCTGCCCTCCACCCCTCCTGATCCCAATCCCCAGCTTGGGTCCAAATCCTTGAATATCCAGTGCCTTAGGACTTTATCCCTTACATGAAAAGCACTATACATATCTAATTTGTTATTGATACCTTGACCGTTCTCTCGTTCAGCATTATATGTAGTGGTGGACAATGAGTGTTGACCCAACGTTTTTCTAGAAAACTATAAGTTTGTTTATTTTGATTGCTTAACTTAATTCTCTCGCCCCTCGCCCCCCCCCCCTCACAATTATGTAGTGCTGCCTTTCTGCATTATTGGTTAACTGATGTGGAAATGCTTCTGATTGTAGGATCGAGAGCAGGATTTGTTGGGCTCTCCCTTTGCTTCAGAGGAGGACGTCCTTAGCCCATTTGTTAAGCTTGAGGATCTGACCATTTCAGATCAGTTTGTAACTACCGTGACTGAAACCCTGCCTGTCTCGGCTAAGTCCCACGTAAGTACTCAATGTGTATCTATTTCTCTTCCTGCTCTTGGTATAATTAAAATTCATTATTTGTGCGATTTTTAAAAAAGTTAAGTGTGGTAATTTAATAAATCCAGTAAAATTCTTGACTGGCTAATCATTTTTGTGCCACTGAATAATAATCCTCAAGCAGCTATCAATTAGGATTCCATTAAAATAATATTGTTAAATGTTATATTTCAGCACCTTGGGACATTCACCCAATGTGAAACGTGATCGATATACAAATGTAATTTGTTGTTGTTAAAATTGCGTGGGGGGGAGGGAAAGTCTTTAGGTACTTTTCAAAGGCTGTGTAGTTAAATGGTTTCTATAAAACCGGGTGCTTTCCTTGTTGGCTGGTGTTGGCATTGGTTCCTGTGTTACCAAAATGATTATTCTTTTTTTTGTTTGAAACTGAATCTGTCTGATCTGATTCCTCTACAGCATGTGTTGGCATATTCAAATGCATTTGATGACCAAATTGACAATGAGCCTCAAGAGGAGGAGCCCTTAACTACACACTGCCCTATGTTGGAGGACTCGGCCACCATCCCTGAATGTGGCAATAGTGAGGAGATAGTGGAGGGAGCTTGTGGTGGAAGCCAACCTGTATTGACTCAATGTGGCCCACCAGCTGAGGACATCAGAGGAAGCTCATCAACAACCTACTATTACTACTTTTATCAAGGTTTATATCACTTGATATTCTTTATAATGTTTTTTACTTTATATTTATTGCCTGGGTTTCGCCAGCAAAATATACAGTCACTACACTTTACAGTATATTCTGTGAACCGCTTTGAGACGTCTCAAAGACATGATAAGGCGCTATATCAAATGCAAGGATTATTATATTTACCTACATTGCTATTTTTATTAAAAATCAGTTTTACCAACTTCAAAGCAGCTGAAGCAACCGATTTGGAGGAGTAGTGTTAACATTGTCTTTGCTTCTATGTTGCTTGCATATCTTCATGGCAGTTCCCAAATGTGAGAATGGACGGTTTATACTTGTATTCGCTAGATTTCAGTGGAAGCTTTTAAATAAACCATTGCTGAAGACTTCTATAGAAGTGCCTATACTATACTATACTACCCTGTGTGAAGGGTGCTATATAATGCAAGTTGTTGTTTCTATGAAAAGCTGGGGCAGGGAGTGATTAAAGGGCAGCTGGAGCTGTCTTGTACCAGGACACCGCTGATGGTTTACTTTGCAAGACTAATTCTTTAATTTCTGTATATTCAGCGGAGAATGGGCAACACATGTTTCTGAATCCCGTTAATGTCCGATGTCTAGTGAGGGATTACGATAGCCTGGAGTGCTGTCCTGAGAAGATTACCGCTGAAGTGGTTGAGATTGTTGGCCATTCAATAACCGAGGTAACCAAAACATCAATTTGAACTTCACAAATTCAGGAAATGTTTGCTGTCATGGTTTTCAGTTCTGACAATTCTGTGATGTGCTTGAGCATTATTACTAAGTCAGGTATTGGTGAAATTGGTAAAATAAAATTGGTCACTCACTCCATGGCTGTTTGTGGGACATTTCTGTATGCAAGTAGCGCTTCACCCACAAAATACAGTCACTACACTTTACAGTATATCCTGTGAAGCGTTTTGAGCCATCTCAACAACATGATAAGGCGCTATCGCAAATGCAAAGATTATTATTATTATTGTGTAGTCAAATGGAGATTGCCCCCCCCCCCACCAACACACTGCTAGTGCTACTCACGCAGTGGCTAAAGGCTTGGGATACTGAGATCAAGAATTGCACCTTTTGCTCTGCCTCACTTATGTTAATTGAGTGAGGGACCACTTTGATCTATAACTCAATCCCAGATCTCATTGAGTGCTTAACCATTTGAACCATATCTGGGATTCCTTTGGATTTTTTTACAGAACACCGTCAGTTAACAAGCTTGTGCTTGTAACAGTGACATCCCCTGTAGCGCTGACCTTATAATGTAGCTTTGGTTCAGTTTGAATCTTCCTCTCGGCAGGACGTACGCCGACGGCATCGTTACTTGAGCCACTTGCCGCTCACCTGCGAGTTCAGTATTTGTGAATTGGCTCTGAAGCCTCCCGTGGTGTCTAAGGAAACATTGGACGCTTTTTCAGGTTTGTTTTCTGCCACTTGTAGACGATCGAATTGCGCGGAAGGAGGGGGGTGGGGGGTGGGTCCAATCTCGGCAGCTGCCAAGGGCCTAATGTCCCATTTGAAAAATGGCTGCACAAGCAATATCTTCCCTTCCAGAAATCTGACAACATTGATGGGTTACGAAGGGAGAGGGTGGGCCGGATGAATCGGAGAGAGGGGCGTGGGTTGTGCTGGTGAAAATCGTCCCCCTCACTGCCAGTTGGGACTTGTGTACAGTTCTTTTGTTTACAAGGGATCAGTCCGTTGAATGTTGGAATCTTGTTTGCAGACGACCTTGACCGAAGGCAGCGTCTCCGTTTGAAGAAGGCTCGGGATGAACGCCGGCGAGAGCGGCGGATTGAGATGGAAGAGAACGAAAAGCAAGGCCGATGTGAGTGCTTCACCTTCTCTGCAAGCTCCGCTAGCTTATTGTGTTCAGTGTCTCACTCTTTCTTTTTCTTTTCCCCCCCCCACCCCCCCACATTCTTCTAGATCCAGAAGTACACATCGCCCTCGAAAACTACCAGCAGTTCCCAGCATTCGGTTCTTCTTCAGAGAATAAAGCATTTGTTGGTCTTACAACCAGCCTGGATCCTGACTCCCAGCCTTCAGGTCTTTCACTCTACAGTGCCCTCAGCAGGAGCCCTGGAGCCTTCACTGGTAGGAAATGGCATTTGTGAGAGGACACTGGTAGTTTGCTACAAAGGGAATTTTACTGACAGGTCAGTTGGACAATTTCTAGTTCCTCGGCCAGGTGGACGGCTTATCTTTTCCAGCGGTGGCCAAACTTTTTGTTCGGTTGACAAAAAAAGTTTTCCTGATTAAATGTTTCTTTGTGCCAGAAATATTAAAAGAAATAGAAATATTCAATGAAAAACTACAGATCGAACACTGACTTGTGCAAATGTTCGGGCGGGGGTGGGGGCTTACTTCTTGACAGCCCCACAGATCTGGGGGCCACGTGTTGCCTACCACTGATCTAAACGCTTTTTACACAAACTGATTTGTGAATAATGTGTTCAGATTAGTACTTTTTTAAACAAAAAATTGCTGATGGAGATTTATCAGCTCTCTCTAGTGCTTGCCATCTCTGGCTGAAACCTACTGCTTATCGTGTCCAGTTGGTTGTTCAAATTGATTTTAAAGATGTGCATGTGTGACGTGAAAGGCCTCATCTTGAGGTCAGATATTTAATGGACTCGATAATCCTATAAATACTCGGGAGATTGTACTATCTGTCCAAATAGCAACTACACTTGATCTCCTTTGAATTGGGAGGAAATGAATGTGCATCCATTAAATTCTCTACTTTTAATGGTCATTTAAAATATTTTATTTGTGATGCAACAGGAATTTTGGCGAAACTGGGCAAGTTTCCTTACTCCACATGCCTAATAATAATCCCTCCAAAAACAAAAACAATAATAGATTTTTTCAATCTACGACTGTTTGTGGAATTTTGCTGCCGCGTTCGCCCACAAATTTACATATTCTGCAGAATCCTCACCGAGTCCATCTCCTTCAGTGTTTACTCCAGGAAGTCCTTCTTCCTGTGTTGGAAGTCCAGAGGATGATGCTCATTTTCCATCATTTGCACAGGTAATTGGGGTTGTAAATTGAGCAGCGTTTTCAATCTGAACGAATGCAGATTTTTGAGTGTGTGGGTGTGTGCACATGTTATCAATGTGAAACTATAGATAGAAATGTCAGGACGAAAGCTCACATCTTATTGCACTGTCAACAAGCAGCAGTGGTATCAATGGCTAATGTTCAGCGTTTGGACTATCCTGTCTTCTCTCCCGGTAAGGGTGATCTTCTCGACAGTTTGTGAGGGGAAAGTAGCTGGAGAGCTGTAGTGAGGGTCTCCAGTGTAGTGTAGAGAGGAAAGAGGCAGCAGTGAATCAGCGCAACAAATCTTCATGGATGGATCTGGAAAATTGTCTCAATTGTGTTTCCACGAGGAATGTGTTTTAGCACTAATACTGGCTTCATGACTTGAACGTAAGTGTTGCTTTATTAGAGTTGAGATATTGACCCAGTTGCTCCTTTTGCTCAGACTTGCTTCATGACTTGCTTCATGCCTCCTGCTCTCTCCATCCTAATGTCTTCGGTTTTCTGGAACATCATCCCTGGAGTCCCTCAACTCGCACTCTCTTTCACCTTGTTCAAGGTCCATTTCAAGACCTACTTCTTTGACCATGCTTTTGGTTATCTTTCTCCTCTCCACCTTCCTCAGCTCCACCAACTCCAGCTTGGATGGCAAACCAGGTCTGTTAAGTACTTTGGGATGTCCTTCTGACGTGAAAGGTACTATATAGATACAGGGTGACCAAAAAGTTATGATACCATTACAATGTCTAATAAGTCTTAAAGAAATTATATTTTTTGAAATAATAGGGAGACAAGTGAAAGCAACTGAGTCAGCAATGCACAGCTCTATCTCCTTTGAGGTGACTCGTTACTGTTTTGCTGGCAGGCTAGGTTGAGTTCTCAGCATGCCACAACAGGTTTGTGCTGCTGTTTTTACAGTGATGGCTTGTTTGGAGAAGAAACTGGGAAAGAGACCAGGGAGGGGCACAGTCAGAAAGTTGGCTAGCTTACAAACTACACCTCACAAGTTTGCATGTAGATAGTTTGTGAGTATCTCTGCCAGTAACGTGGAGCCTTTTTCCTAGTGTAGCAGGCCCATTCCAGAGACCTTTCTGTGAGGAAGTCTGCAGGTTTGCTCAGTGAAGTGGTATCTGTCAGCAGCTGGACTGAAACTGGTTGCATAGAATAATAGAAAATTTACAGACAAGATGAGGCCATTTGGCCCATTGAGTCTGCACTGGCTCTCGGAGCAAGCTGTTCATTCAATCCCACTGTCCTGCCTTACCCCCATACCCCTTCAAGCCTCCCTTTCATGTACTTGTCCACTCCCTTCTTGAAACCCACAAGGTACTCATCGTATGTGGCAGGACATTGCACAGCCCAACAAACTCTTGAGTGAAAGTTTCTCCTGTGCTCTCCTTTTCGCTCCTGAGACTATCATAAATAACTAGGTCCCCTGATCAGTGACTTTTTTAGCAGTGGAGAATAAACTTCTCTCTATATACCCTGTCAAAACCCTTGTTTTGTACACCTTTATCTCAGCTTCCTCCGCTCCAGTGGAAATAGACCCAACTTATCCAGCCTCTCATAACCAAAGCTTTTTCATCCCTGGTATTATTCTTGTAAATATCTCCTGCCAACTGGGGGGAGAAAAACATTCTTTTATATTGTACCCTTGTAACCATCAGAGAAGACTTACAATAATCTCGATGTGTGGGCTGTGTTCAGTTTTTTGTTGCAGAGGTAAAAGGGAAGTATTTCTACTTGCTGAATCATCTTGGTTTATCTCTGCTGGATTGTGAGGCACTGAAGCTGTAAAATACTGACATAACGTTCTCAGGAATTTGACGATGTCTGTCTTCGCACTGAGGCCACATTACAAAATGCGCCTCACCAAGTTAACACCGAAGCACAAAATTAGTTTGTGGCAGAAACAAAAATGTGCTGTTGACTTGACGCATTTGCCAATGTGTTGGAGACACCGCAGGGGAACACTTGCCTTGTACCCCTCATGTACCAGACCCAACGTGTTTCTCGCCCACGCACAATCAACGGGACTTTGCTTGCAAACAGTCAGTAACTTTCTAACCATTAAATTCTCTGATAGATGCTGAAGGATGGGAGAGCTAAAGCAGAAGTGTGGCCCAAAGCGACTCCAAGAAAAGGTGAGTCCTTAGATGTGTGCTCTTCACTCATCGTAGTAATTTTTAACGAGACAAAATCATGCGGCAGTATTTTATTTTTCCCCACTATGTAAGTGCAGGAGGAGTGACTGCAAATGTATCTTCACAGAACCCAGTGTGATGCCAGCACCCCCAACAGACAGCGATGGTGAGAGTGATCCCTCAGACCGTGCCCCGGTGCCCAGCTTCCAGAATTCCTTCAGTCAGGCAATGGAGGCTGCGTTCCTCAAACTCGATAAAGTTGCAACTCCGGACACTTGTGCAGGTAAGTCTACTGCTCTGGGTGGGGGGGGGGGGGTTAGGAGAAGGGAGAGAGGAGACTGTTAAAGGAACTCTTTGTCTAGTTATTATAATAATAATACTTGCATTTGATATAGCGCCTTATCACGTCTTTGAGACATCTCAAAACAATTCACAGATTATACTGTAAAGTGAATTGACTGTATTTTGTGGGCGAAATAGGGCAAGCCAATTCTATGGTGGAAATATCACTGCTTCTGCAAATTTGGGTGAGTTTTGGTCAAGTTTTGAATTTTTTTTTTCCTGCTTTCCCCATTTTGCCACTTGACCCTGCAGAAGGAAACAACAACAATAGTTTTTATATAAAAAAGAAAACCCAAGTGAGAGGACACAGGTTCGATTCCCAGGCAGGGCAAAACCATAGGCAAGTTTCCTTAGTCCACAGGCCTGTTTATCCAGCAGTGAGTAGGAACCCGGTTGTTTGTCGATTGGTGGATTGCTTTCTGGGGGTAATAATCGCTTTTTTTAAATAAAAAAAAGTCGCTCGATTCACGACTGTTTGTGGGACAGTGCTGTCTGCATTTGGCTGCACCGTCTCTCCCATACAATATACAGTCTGTCCGCTGTATTCTATGAATCGCTTTGAGATGTCTCAAATATGTGATATGGTGCTACGTCGAATGTTGTTGTTATTCATGTAGTCCTGTAAATGCAGTGTGGTGGCACAGGACAGTTTAAAGGTGCCTGTGTACTTTTTTTTTCCTCTAATGTGTAATTCCTTTCTGCAGAAGAGAAGAATGGGAAAAAGAAGAAAAAGAAACAAAAGCTTCTCTTCAGCACTTCAGTTGTTCACACAAAGTGACAGGCAGCCCCTGCCCACATCTACCCCTTCTCTGCTGTCTGGGTGACCACGTTTCTGTTGCTTTTATTTTGCTGCTATTAGTTTGTTACTGGATCTGTAAAATCTTGGTTTTGGTTGTACTTCATACTCACCCAATAGATTACAGTGAAGGCACTTGAGTGGTTTGTCAATGGAGCAGTTTGCCTCCTGCGTGTCGATGTATTCCGGTCTAACACACGGCTACTTTTTTTGTGGTTAGGCACCATAACGCATTTTGTATAGCTTGTTTTCAATTGAAAGGGAAATTACAGTAAATCCCGAGTCAGTGTTGAAATTTGACGTTCCCGGTTGTGCGGAAGTTGCATTAGTCTGTGAATTTATTTCCTCATAATCATTCTCGGGCCCTGCAAATTAATTCATACATGGCTTAATATTTCTTGTTCAACTACATCAGATGTTGCTCTTCATTCTTCCTTTCCCCACCCACTCCCCATGGGAGTACACACACACAATTTTATTTTTTACCGGCCCAGCTAGCAAAGCAAACTTAAGAAAGGCAAGTCTGCTCATCCATCTTATTGTGTTCAGAATGTAGGGAGGGATATTGTCTATTCTAGCATTAATTTCAACCCCTGCGGCCATAATATTGGGTGGTCATGTGTCAGTGAGTGACAGAACAAATTCACAGTATAACTGGAGTTTCTCTTTAAAGCTTAATTTGAAATGTGCTGAGGCCTTTTAAGAAAGTGAATGTTTAAAAAAAGAGAGAATCCATCTCAGAACGAAGTAATGTGTTAAACTTTGTATATCTATCCTTTGTTTTACTTTATTTGAATTGGGGCAGCAGAATAATAGATGCAATAAAGGATTCTTACGCACAGTTTGTCTCTGCCTGAACTAATTCTGGAGAGGTGTCGGATGAGTTTGAGGAGATCTTGAAGGCATTGCCTGGGTGATGCATCTGTCCCACTTGTTGATTCATGTTAGTGGGGTGGAGAGGACATGCTTTGACATGTCCTTCAGGAATACTCTGATGAGGAGTGAGGTGATTAAAATTTATCCAAACAATTCACCCTCATAGTTCTGACCTGTTGGACAGGCAGAAGGGGGTCCAGGATTGAGCAGTGAGGGTGGATTTGTGGTAAATGTAGTGCAGGGAGAGAGAGCTGCAGCCACTTGGGAGCATCCCAGAGAAGGTCTGCCTCTATCCCAGTATGTTGTAACTTGCTTTCCAAAGCATCCAAGATGAATACCTGGATTAAACATTGTTGCGTGAACCCAGTATACAACACATTGCACTTGGACTTCTGGAGCGTCAAAGTGACTGGCATGCCACCAGCTGTCCTGTAAAGCTGTCCTGGCATGCTGAAGGTAGGTATCTGTCAAGAAGCTAATGAGGATCCTTTTAAGGCTTGAGACAGCAGCTACTGGAAGGTGTTGCCTGGAGTTCTGATGTGTGAACATAGCCAGTACTTGGTTTCCACCTTAACTGATGTGCAGAGATAAGCAGCTGATTTAGCTCTGCACCTCCAACTGGTGAAACCATTCAAGGGATAGACTTGTGTCTAAGCTGTGTGCAGGAGGATGGTGGCTTTGCTTGCACACACATACACACGCACACACGGCGTTTCAGACATGGATATCAACTGATTAAAGTGCTCAAGCATGGGGTAACGGGAGGTGGGAAAAGTGAACTAAATGGTAACGGGCAAACAGAAGTTTGTCTGGAATAGGAGAGAACTTGCCCACCTGTTCAGATTCGGAATACCACTCCGGCACACACCTACGTAGGGAGCTGCGAGTTGGGAGGTTAACTTTTGAATGAATGTGTCCTTTGGAAAAGTTCACCCTTCAAGTCAGTCAGACCTGCCTCTTTCATGGGGCTCCATCTTGTGGTTCAGGGACAAATTATACCCTTATATTATAACGTCAAACTTTTAAAAATGAACCAAACTCACCTGCAAAGCACTTTAATACCGCAAATAATATTGTAACCGACTGCAGCAGTGTATTTCCAGTGCAGTTATGCTAACAAACTAGTTTCACCAAAATTCCACACTTGAAGGAAAATGTAAAATACGCATTTACCTAGGGGCTGGAGGATTGAATTTCAGCTGTAAATGAACAACTTCGGTGTCAGCGGGTGAAGCTTATCACAAAGAGACAGGTAAGGCAGAAAGTAGAGATTAAATTCTTTTTAATCTACACCACAAATTGAAAACTTACAACATTGAACAAATTGTGTTCCCTTGTGCTGGGTTCCAAAGTGATCCATATAATTGTGTAGGACTCCACTGGCAACTCTTGGAAGATCTTAGGAGTGTACCTTGAGGAAAGTGATACCATAGTCCAGTTTGGATCCTGCAGTGTAAGATAGTGGAGGAGCATAAGCAGTGTGTGTGGGAGCTGAATTACATCTGACCCAGAGTCCACTTTAAGTAATCCCTGGTATTATCAGTTCAGTCATTGCCCACTACAAATGCATCGTTACAATAAACCAGAGGGAATGTTCATTCAGTGTCATCATCTTCCATCTCGTCATCTCTGTGCTGAGGATGAACATCCTTCGGCCACTTAAATGAGCAACTCAGGATGGATTTTTGGATTGAATTCCTTTCCGCTGAAAAACAGGAAAGAAACGTAATAACCCTTGCATTTGATATAGCGCTTTATCAAATGTGTTCAGCGCCTCTCACGTCTCAAAGCACTTCACAGGATTCACTAAAAACGTAATGCCTGTGTATTCGCAGGCAAATGTATTGGGATTGGATTTGAAGTAAACCTTCTCACCATCTGTTGTGCAGTCTTTCAGGAGTAAATGGAGCTGTTTCCTGTTGTACTGAATGAGGAACTTCTGACTGGTTCGAATAGTACCTGCAGTGAAGGAAGGGGGGGGGGGGGGAGAGAAGGGTCCAGATTATTCACAGCACTTTGTTCTGAAAGTCACAACGTAAATAGGATACTGAAGCTGTGTACAGTCAAATATAGATCTTAAAATGTATTGCACTGAGTTCTGAGTTTCAAGATCCTCGCACTTGTCTTCAAATCCCTCCCTACCTCTCTGACCTGCTTACTCCCCAATCCACTACCCACTGCCTCTGCTCAACTGGCTCTAGTCTTGTCCTCCATTCCACCGGGGTTTCAGCACTACGTTCCAAAACTCCGGATCACTCTCCCTCAACCCCTCTGCCTTGCCTCCTTCTTTCCCATCTTCAGGTCATGCACAAAGACCTTCCTTTTCTACCGTGCTTACGCTCACCTCCCACTTCCCCCTATCTTGGCGTCATGCTCTGTCGAGGGTTCTGAGACTCTACCCAGTGTGAGGAGCACTGTACAAATGCAAATTGCTGTTGCATTGAATTTCTATTCCTCTTAAATTTTAAGTGGAATCTACCTTCCCAAGGCTCTGTGACAACCCAACCGGGAAGATTTCAGGTTTGAGCTTCCAGTGTTGGGTGTTCAAATGCTGCAGTTTGCTTCAGCAGCAAAGGTGGGGTAGAGAGAGTGCGCAGGAAGTCAGTTTGTGTCCTAGTTGCTGATTTGTAGGAATGTTAACAGGACCAGGATACAATACAATGCCCCAACAGTTAATTTGGTTGCTGACAATTGCACTGCAGGTTTCCATGTCAATAGCCAGTTGGATGAAATACCAGCGACTGTTAATGTTCATATTTCAGTACCAGGCAATACCTTAATAATAATAATAATAATCCTTGCATTTGATATAGCGCTTTTCACGTCGGGAGGACGTCCCAAAGCGCTTCACAGAACATACTGCAAAGTGAATTGACTATATTTGTGGGGGTGGATGAAGGAAAGATGCAAAAAGCAGCATAAATTATAAAGATTTACACTGATTTCAGCTGGTGACTTTACTGTTCATGAGTTGATGAATCTTAATTGATGTTAATCTGAATCTTAAAAAGCACCTTGGGATGTCCTCCCGATGTGAAAGGCACTACATACAAAAGTAATTTTGTATTGTATTAATCCCCAATCTCACTTATGATCAAAGAGACAAGAGGAAGGAGCAATAGAACTGCATTTCTATGGAGTCCAATCGGAAACAAAGTCAGATGCATGAAGTATTTCATGCCTCTTGAAATAAATATATAAATGTTAATGTTTAAACTATGGTAAATATCGCTTCTTCCACTCGTTTTTTGGATGTTTGCAGTATTAACCCCGATTGCTCTTACCTCCCACATGGAGGGTGTTAAAGAAACAGGGATATTTCTGATTCTTGTTCTCCAGGAAGGTAATAAATGGCAGGGCTGACCACAGCATCCGATAAAACTCCTTTCGACACCTTAGTAGGGCAATTCCAGTGTAGGCATTTAGGTATTTCACTGGAAGAGAAGAAATCACCAGTTACAATAATCAGAATAATAACCCTTACATTTGGTGTAGTGCCTTTCACTTTGGGAGCTGTCCTCAAAGAACTTCAGATATACTGTAAAGCCCTTTTTTGTGAGAGCAAACAGTTGTGTACACGTCGTACAGTTGCAGGAAATAATATTGGAAATAATATGCACTTTGACTTCATATAGAACTAACATCTTGTCTTTCTCTAGAAATATCCTCTATCTGTGTGGAACATTAAAAAAGTCTATCATGTAACAATTTACATTGGAACCAATTATAATTGATGAATACAGTAAACCTCACATAAATCATATCAGTGGGTATGTTATATTTAATATGACTTATGCAAAGTATGAGTTCTGTCAAAGTTGCATAGAATATAAACTCTTGGAACAGGACTTGGGCAGATGTATGACTGAGGCGACTTAAGACCGATCAGACTTGTGTGAGTTTTATTGTATTTAAAATTGGCAGAAAGGCATTTTGCAAGGAGTGGCTGGGTGTGTGTGGGGGGGGGGGTGTTGGGGAAGTGAGTAGCACATGCAGAAACCCATCACCTTTCGTAAGAGTATCCAAACCATGCTGAAATGCCACCCCTTCATGGAAATGCAGAATGGAGCGGGCATGCCCTCTCGCTCTCCATAGAGCAATGGTAACCAACCCATGGCTCGCGGGCCACAATGGTCCCTGGGGGAGATGTCAAGTGGCTTGTCGAACTTTCACATTATTCTACGTAAGAATGTGTTAAATCCATTATTTTGTTTCCACTAGCTACTGAATAGCGATATACTGATGGCGTGGCCGATAAACTCAAGAAATATTCAATCAAGAAAAATTCATGTGGTTGACCGACCAAAAAGGTGCCCTGGAGAGACACACCCTGCTTGCCAAATCCCACAAAGTATTAGGTGCCATGTTGGTGAGAGCCAAGGCTCACAGACCCCAGAATGTGTTGGATTTACTGCTGGATATACAGAATATGTGTTGGGATCTTCAGTTGCGCACAAGGCCATTCTTAATTGCTGTGCCTAAACAAAGAGCATTGCCTGACTATTTGATTGTGGGAAGTACCGAAGCCAAATGTGATCCTGTTGTCCAACTCCTTGTGCACAAAAATACACACTCTCCGTCAGGAATCATTCGTAGCTATCAATCACAGGAGCCCTGGCTTAATAGAATCTCCAGCCCAGAGAAATGAAGCTAAATTAAACACTATGTTGAGTAAGAGAGTCAAAGTGTCCAAGATCCCTTGGCTCTATTCAAAAAGAGTTTCTCTCAGTGACCTGGCCAACAATTTCCCCAATTTTTATATTAAAAAAAGTCACCCATTCCATGGCTGTTGGTGGGACATTGCTGGGTGCAAACTGGCTGCTGCTGAGTTCGTCCACAAATACGCAGTGACATCACTTTACAGAAAGACTCTGAAGAACTTGAGATATTTTGATGTAATAAGATGCTATAACAATTGTGAGAATTATTATAAAAATGTAATCATGGATGCAGTACACAAGATAGATTGCATTTCATTTGGTGCCTTTGTTTATAGCTCTTACCTATCAGGCGTAAAGCACAACAGCTGTGGCCGAAGTCACCATGTGTTTGCACTATTGCGTCTTTCACTGCTTTGAAGACATTTTTATCCTCCATCCACTGCCGAGACTCAGGGTTCTCAAACACAATCTCACACAGGAAGTACCTGCACATAAACACAGACGTTTGTTTTATCATGCAGTGCTCTGAGACACTATCCTGCAATGAAGGGGGCTAAATAAATGCAAGTACCAAAGATATGCCCATCTCTTTTCAAATAGTTAGAGTGGGATCTTTAAAGTCCACCTGAGACTCGGAAGACAGGAAGTCAGTTTAATGTCTATCTGTAGTATGGATGACACCTCTGACTCTGTAACTCTTCTTTATCATTGTAACACACCTCAGTCCTGCAACAGAGGGCCAGCCATGACTTTACCACATTCCTTTTTTTTGAGGAATTATTACCTCCTGGAAAGCAATCCACCAATCGACAAACAACAGGAGTAAACAGAGGCGTGCGGAGTATGGAAACTTGCTGAGGGTTTCACCCTGCCTGCCCGGGGGAAATCAAACCCAGGTCCTCTCGCCTGTGTGGGGTGAGCGCCAACCACTACTGTACGGAACTACCATCTTTAACATCGACCTGGCAGGTGGGAGCTCAGCTGAATGTCTCATTTTACAGCGAGCACGGGTTACAAAGACGTGTGCGGCAACCGGGAGGGTGAGCGCCACCGCAGCAAATTTAAGGTACAGTCGAAAGCGGTTCAGCTCATCAAACAGCAATCCTTTGAAAGTCCCTTCAACTGCTCATTTTGTCGTCGCTGCCGTGCGCAACCGGCTGCCGCGTTTCGCCCACGAATATACAGTCAATTCACTTTACGGTCTGGTCCCGTGAGGCGCTTTGAGACAGTCTCGGAGACGTGATGAGGCGCTATATCAAATGCAAGGATTATCATCATCATTATCATCATCGTTGCTGCTGCTGCTGCTGCTGCTGTTGTTGTTTTGCCTCCAAACCCCCAATAAACCCTGTCATTAGCACCAGAGGAACTTACGACACACGTTGACTACTGTAAAGTCTGGGCTGAGGGGGGGACACGAGGTGGTAAAAGGAAGCAGAAAACAGGCAGAAAACACTGAGCACATGTACCTGGACTTGAAACGAACCATCGCTCAGCTCTGCCCTCCCTGTGCTGTGTGGTGTGTGTGTGTGGGTGAGTGTGTGAATGAGTGACGCAGGAGCGGAAAATGTAACCATCTCCAGGACGGGCAGCCAATGGGAGCCGAGCGGGGGCGGGGTTTAGGCTACTCTTCCGGGTGTGTGGGTGGGGGGGCGGGGCTTCGGGAGCGGATGAAGTGGGCGGGGCCTGAGCAACAGCTGGTGAGGGACTTCTTTCCCAAGGACTGGTGGGAGAGCATCAGCTTCCAACCCAAACCTCTGCCAGTGCAGGGGGGAAGGGGGAGGGAAGGGGGGTGGTGGTGTGGGGGGGAGGGAGGGGAAGGGGTTGGTGTGTGGGGAGGTGGGGGAACGATCACGATTCAGGACTTTTTTGCAGATGTCTGGGCAGATGTTTAATGGGGAAAGGGGAGGGTGGGGTGGGGTGGTGGGGATTCTTGGATTCGATCCTTCAATTCCTTCTCAATGTTGCATGGGTGGCTTTTTTTTTCTGGTGTCACCGTCGTGAAGCGTGCTCTGTAAAATAATAAATACTACTACTACTACTGATAGATAATCATCTTTTGCATTTGATCGGGTGGCCGAGCCGGCTCAAAGCGCTTCGCGGGGTACACACTGTAAAGTGGAGTGACCGTGTATTTTAGGAGTGAAAGGTGGCAGCCGGTTTGCGCACAGCAATGTTTCCACAAACAGCCATGACTTGCCATGGAATGAGTGACCAAATTCATTTGGTGGATTTGTTGGCAGGGACAACGGGAGAGAAAATCCCTTCTCTTTTCAAAAAGTCCCTGGAAGCTTTAACGTCCACCTGAATAGGCAGACAGGACCTTGGTTTAACGTCTCATTCGAAGGAAGGCACCTCGGACAATGCATTGGAGGGTCAGCTTAGACTATATGATCCGAGTCCCGAACCTTCTGACTCAGAGGATAAAGTGCTATCACTGAGCCAATGCCGGGCAGGATGGTAGGGGGTTAGAAGGTCACAGAGATAGGGGGGAGCAAGGCCATAGAGGTCTTTGAAGGTGAGGACCACGATCTTGAACTGTATTCTCTGTGTGATGGGAAGCCATGGAGTGCCTCCACTATTCAAATACTCGCCGGTATTCCCAGCTCCACTATCCACAATATTCAGTTAATCCCAAACTGCAATACTCGCATACTCACCCGCACTAAACTCCGTACCCTCATCACACCAGTTCTAGCCAGGCTCCACTGGCTTCCTATCATGACCCTGTGTAAGGGGTTATATATAAATAAAATTTGTTGTTGTTGTATGGAAAATCTAAACATTTTCTGAGTTCCCCCATGATTGGCTGGCGAGCACACCTCATGAATCGGACCCTGATTTCACCCCATAATCCCAACCCCTTTGGGGGAGCCAGTCCAACACCAAGCCCATTAGAGCACATGAAAATGGGGGCCCCACAAATCTTTTGCGGACCAGGCCCACAAAAGGTTACTCTGGCCCTGGGTATAAAAGATCAAATGGTGCTTGACTTTTTAAGAAAAAACTTTAGTACCAGCCAATGCTATTCTCTTCTACACTCCTACGTCTTATGTGGCATCATAAGACACAGCAATGTTTAGCCCACAAAATATACAGCCAATTCATTTCGCAGTATATTCTGTGAAGCGCTTTGAGACATCTTGAAGACATGTTAAGGCACTATATCAAATGTAAGGCTTATTATTATCATTATGTAGAGGACGAATAGCTTTTGATGGCATCTTACTACCACAAGATGTCATCAAAAGCATTTTCTTTTGCTAGGAGCTCTGTGCAAAATATTTGGGCAAACATATTTTATTTTATTGTTGTTTTCCAAATGTGCCCTGATAATGCAATTGTGCTGGACAGCACCTCCGACAATACAACACATTTACACTATGTTATTCCAAGTCCCAATGTGGAGCTTAACCTTTTGACTCAGAGGCAAGAGTACTACCACTGAGCCAGGCTGTGAGGTAGAGCTGAGAGATGGATCGACTAGTTTTGTGGTATTCTGTCCACGAGAGGGAGAATGGAGCTGGGAAAGCCTCCTCGGATTTGGGAGCAATATTAATTTCTGAGGTAATAAATCTGGGCTTTATTGAGAGTTAAGTATTGTTGGGTTTGAAGAGAGAGAATAGTGTGGTGTTCGAGGAATAAGCCTTATTTGTGGGGAAGCCGCTGTGCGCAATTGGCTGCCGTGTTTCGCCCACAAAATACACAGTCAATCCACTTTACAATATATTCTGTGAAGCTCTTTGAGACATCTCAACGACACGATAAAGTGCTATATCAAATGCAAGGATTATTATTATTATTTATTACCCTAAAATACTGTATTGTTGAAGGATTTACCAAATATGTTTCTCTCATGAAATGGACGGTAGCCAGAAGGTGGCAGTACAAGACAAAATGATCAAGTACTGTATTGTGCACATTATACACACTCAATAAAACTGAGAGACCTAAGATCCTAGAGTTTGACGTATCAATTAGGCTTTGATATTAAGCGGATTTATATACATAAAAAAGTATGTGCAGGAGAATTTAAAATGAGAATAATACACGTTCCCACATGGTGTGCATTAAAGATGAGGGAAATGAAAGATCAAAGGAATTTGGGATTGATCAGCACTGTTAACAGGTTCAGCATAATAATAATCCTTAGATTTGATCAAGCGCCATTGATGTCTCAAAGCTCGTCACAAGATATACTGTAAAGTTCAGTGACTGTGTGTTTTGTCAGCAACTGTGGCAGCCAATTTTGTTCCACAGCAAAGTCCCACAAACAGCCATGGAATGAATGACTATCTTTAACTGGGGGATTGTGGCCAGGATCCAGGAGAAACTCTCTTCTCTTTTCAAACAGTGGCATTGGATCTTTAATAATAATAATAATAATCCTTGCATTTGATATAGCGCTTTTCACGTCTTCTTGACGTCTCAAAGCACTTCACAGAATATGCTGTAAAGTGAATTGACTGTATATTTGTGGACAAAATTAGGCCCAAATGTCCACCCAAACAGGCATTCAGGGCTTCAGTTTAACATTGCATCGGAAGGATGGCATCTCCGACAATGCAGTAGAGAGTCAGTCTAGACTGTGTGAGTTCCTTTGTTCATTGATCTAATGCTGGAATACAACTGTAATAGTTGTTTAAAAATGTGGGTGTGCATATTAGAGCTTGAATCTTTGTTATTCTTGTCAACAGTGCTCACAGGTTTTTTGTAGTTTAAGGGGACCCTTTGAAAATGCAATTCAAATCCCTTTCGTTTTTAAATTATAAATGAGTTTGAATATAAAGTTTGAATCTCATTCCACAGTTACTCACTGCTCCGCCAGTAACTGTAAAAGAGCCTTAAACGAACATGAAAGATGTAAAGAGAAACCGTACCTTTTTATTTATTTTTCTAAAGGATGTGGAATCGTGACATGTCCCTGCGATTCACTGGAGATTACATCCTGCACTAAGTGCGACACAAATTTAACCTTTCAGTGAGGATATTGTTGCTGCATGTCAGCCATCATATCTGTAGTGAAATAATAACAATTCCACTGACAGCAGCAACATACCTGGCTAGACTTCACTTTATTGCCCTGTTCAATATTCTCCCTCTTTCTTAAAGCGCTGACTCAACCTGACATAGGAATTACTATTTATTACTACAGGTGCCTACTATTTTTGCTTTCGCAGTATGTAGTCCTTTGCATTTACTGGTATCGAACTTCATTTGCCATATACGTACCCTATCAAGCTCTCTTTGTAAGACCTTTGCATCCTCTGCTAATTACACAGTTCCCTCCAACTTGTTGTTATAAGATTGAAACGCAGGATCATGCCACCTTCCTCGACCGCCTCACCTCCCTCATCCACCTCAGTGGGACCACACTCTCCTGGTTCAACCCACTGCCATCACATCGCTTCTGCGCATGTTTTCTCCTCCCGCGCCCCCCTCAACCCCTCTTACACCCCCACCGTACCAAAGGCTCCATCCTTGGGCCCTCCTCCTTTTTCTCATTTACATGCTCTCTCTTGGTGGAGTCCTGCAGTGCATGGGCACGTTTCGTCCATAAAGTGTACAGTCATTTGACTTTACAGTATATTCTGTGAAGCGCTTTGAGACGTCTCAAAGACGTGATAAGGCTCTTTATCAAATGCAAGGATTATTATTATTATCATTATTATTATGGTGTCAGCTTCCATGTGTCTGCAGGTGACACCCACATCTACTTTTCCTCCTCCATCAGTGGCCCCAGGTCCATCGATATTCTGCCTGCTTGCTTGTCTTCTGTGGCTGTTTATGTGACATAACAACTTCAGATGAGAGTGCTACCAACTGAGCCAACCTGACGCCTCCACTTAATGGTGCGTAGGGCAGCCAGTGATGGAAAAAGTACATTGCAAGACAGGCACAGGACAATAAGACTAACTACTGTGAAAACCCTGAGCTTTTTTCCAGGAACATTCTCCAATCATTGCTTTTGCTTCACATGTGCTAATGTTTGCAACTTACACACACAGCAATGGGGGGTCGTTTGTTTGGGGCTGAATATTTGGAAAAGAAATAGTAATTATAACAATTGCTTTCTAATGTCTGCCTTCAATACAAGTTGCACAGTGTTTATAATTTGTGCTTACGATTTAGTCTTGTAATTGCACAGATGTGCTATATAATTACTTGTACAATTATTGATATTGGAATTGGGCTGCAAGCGCTAAAGATCGCCAATTGCCTAGTTTTATTGCATCCTGTGTGTGTGTGTGCCACTTATATGCTGGTCCTCTCACAAATGACTGTTATTTTTGCCAATTTTTATATTCCCCCACTTCCCATCCCTGTTGTTTGAACTTCTCGGGATCTGTGGCTAATGGGAGGCTGACAAGCTGTTGTTAGGTTCCTGTTTGGGTCTCTCTTTGTCTAACAGGTCCACAGAGTCACCTCCCCTGCAATGCCAGAGAAGAACTTCCTAATGTGAAGGACAAGAGTAGAACAAACACCTGGAAGTATTTGTTTACACTGAAAAAAAGGATGAATTTAAAGGGTGACATGTAATAATAATCCTTGCATTTGATATAGAGCTTTACACGTCTTTGGGACGTCTCAAAACGCTTCACAGAATATACTGTAAAGTGAATTGACTGTATATTTGTGGATTGAGTAACCAATTTTCTTTTAAGGGTTTGCTATCCCTCGGAAAGCAATCCACCAATCGACAAACAACAAGAACGCATTGACAAGATGCCATGAGTTAATGCTCCAGAAACAGAGAGGTCTTTGAAAAGGACGGATAACAAAGTGTAGGAAGAGCAGGGAAGTCTGGCTGAACTCGCAGATGCCAACCCGGGAATTAATTCCTTTTCAAGCCGTGCGCAGCAACTTTGAAACCGGGTTAATACATCAGCGACCCTGATATGATGTCTGCTGTTTCATTCTCCCAGTGATCCAGTTCAATAATGGGGTGGGGTGGACGGGGTTCTGCTTTGAGAGGAGGCTTCCCAAAAAGTATGTATCTCACGCCACCATAAACATTTTTATTTGCCACAACAAGGGCGAATAAATTACCGAGGAGCCTTATGGCTGCTGAAAGGTGATGCTTAACTTCATTCCACCATGATAACTTGTCCTCTACCTCCACTTTTCATATCTCTGATGTTTTTTTTGCCCGTTGAGAAATAATAATAATAATAATAATAATCCTTGTATTTGATACAGCGCCATCTCACGTCTTCGAGATGTCTCAAAGCGCTTCACAGGAACACTGTAAAGTGTAGTGACTGTGTATTTTGTGGGCAATCAATGGCAAAGATTGTCACAAGATGGGTTGTTACTTTTCCATATCTCTTTAACGCCTTTTTGTTGTAGCTGTTTCACGTGTAGCCATGACAGATTGTTTAATTGTTAACTCTTGACTCGTGGGCCACATGTGGAGCAACCTAACAATTGTAGCTGCTGTTGATTTTAATGCTTGTTCCAGTGAGCCTTTGATGGGAAATGAGAACCAGACCTCATTTCATGTATTACGCAATTTCTCTGACATTGCCCGATGTTTATTAGCATCGCCTGAATGTTTAGTTCATTCCATTCTGTTACTCATGCCTCGTTCTCCGTGAAAGGAATTTTTTTTTGGAAGATGTAGACGACATGTTTGTTCATTCATAACTTCCCCCAAAGGCTTCCTTTAATGGACTCGCTTTGACATGTGGCTGTATTCAATTCTGGGTGGTCCAACTAGTGGGCTGATTTCATCCAGCCCCCACCATCCCCCACCCATTTCATCTGGCCCACCCCCTCCCAACATAAGCTGCAAACGTTATGTTTCTGGAAGGGAGGTACAAAAATGCCTTATCACATCCCTGAGACTTGGGACGTCCTCCTGACGTGAAAGGCGCTCTATAAATGGAATCTTGTTGTTGTTGTTGTTGTTGTTGTTGTTGAGACGCCTCAAACCGCTTCACAGGATGTACTTTAAAGTGAATTGACTGAATTTTGTGGGTGAAATGTGGCAGCCAGTTGCACGCAGCAGTGTCCCACAAACAGTTGTGGATTGAGTGACCAAATTTTTTTTTGAGGGATTATTATCTCCGGAAAGCGATCCGCCGATTGTCTTACCAACCGGGTTACTACTTACTGCTAAGAGGGAAACAGAGGCGTGTGGAGTAAGGAAATTTGCTAAGGTTTTGCCCCGCACGGGAATCAAACCCAAGCCTCTCGCTTGCGAGGCGAGTGCTCTAACCATTACATTACGGGTCGGCTACAGCTAGTCCATCATTGACAGTATCCTGGAGTACTGTGGACCCGCCTGGCTCAGGAGCAAAACTACCGAGACTGCCAGAGAGAATCAGCTCAATTCTGGGCTTCCATTACCAGGTATGACATTTACCTTGGAGTCAGCACCCCAAAGATCTGGCTTACCAAACCCCCAAGAAGGATGGCTAATCACCAGTGGTTTACTGGTGAACCTCGTGAAGGCAAAGTAAAGGGAACGGGGAAATACTTGAATCTGAATCAGTTTTCTGATCTCATTTTTTAATCGCAGAGCCGTGAAACATTGAGTCACGTTACTTTGTAAAGCACACTTGAGTGCTGATCGAAGTGCTCACTCAGAGTAAAAGCCAAGCTTCACTTTACTGAAAGGATATTGATTTTTTTCTCTCTCTCTCTCTCTCTCTCAATGGACGGCACCGCTACCTTTATATTTGCAACGAATTACTTGTGCAGTAGGAAGTTGTGCTAAAGGACCAGCTTGATGAATTTATGGTTGGTTGGAAGGTTCTTCAAAGCGTGTAATCCTTCAACGCACGTAATGCATATTTCGCCCACAAAATATACGGTCAAATTCACTTTACAGTGCGTCCTGTGAAGTGCTTTGAGACGGCTCACAGATGTGATAAGGCGCTGTCTCAAATGCAAGGATTATTATATTATTATCGTGTAATTTGAAGAGTTCTTAGCCAGGTCACCGAGAGAGAGAAACTCTCTTGTTTTTTTCGAGTAGCGTCGCGGGATCTTTAACTTCCACCTGAACAGGCAGGTGGTGGGGGGGGATTCTCGGCTTAACATCTCATTGGAACTTCTGAGAATGCAGCTCTTCCCCCAGCACAACATTGGAGCGTCAGCTTAGGCTGTGAGTTCCAAGTCCTGACGAGGAGCTTTGAACCCAGATCCTTTTCGCTCAAAGGCAAGAGAGTGCTGCCACCTAAAACAGGTTGACTTAGCAGGGTTCACATTCCTGATAGCTATCCATTATCCCCTGCTGGCAAGTGCTGTTAACAACGTCTAAGTATAGAGCTGAATTACATTGCAAGATACTTTCCTGCTGCTTCAGAAATGGATGCTTCGTGCTGGAGCAAATGGGAGCCCCTCTGGTTCCAGGCAGTAATGTGCTTTTCGCTAACAAAGAGGTTTTGTTTCGTTCCATGAAGCATCTAATTCGGGAACGGATGCACCTATGGTTCTAACCACACGTATCCTGGGCTGCAGCGTCTGTCTGTAAGCTCCATTGCAGGCGATTTTAACCACAAAATAAAAACCCGTTTACTTTTCAGGGTGTTTTTATTTGGGCGTCTGTAATCGATGGATGGCATTGATGGGCAACCTGGGCAGTTTGGAACGTTCCATCTCGGTCCACTAGCACTTTTATTGTGTGTGTTTGTGTGGGTGGGTGGATGGGGATGGGGGAAACATCCTGTGCAAAAATTGGCTGCAGTGTTTGCCCACTAAACTTGACGTGCAGTCCCATAGCGCTCGCCTCGCAAGTGAAAGCACCAGCGTTCGATTCCCGAGCAGGAATAGTTAAGTCCCCACCTTGAGACCGAAATAAGGATAATAATGAGATCTCACAAATACACCAAGACCAATAAAAAAAATTAAAAAAAACAACATAAAGACACAATCATTGTAAATAAAATTATGGCTTCGGCAATCACAAAAGGATAAGACTATAAATGAAATGAAGACATGAGTAATAAAGTTCAATGCAATTAATTAATCAGATTGATACAGTGGCTGTGATTAGGAACCGACTTATTAACATGGTTCGATCAATGTTGATTGAGAATATCTCTTCTTAGGTTAGATCGGTTAGACTTGTCTTCTTCGCTCCCAAACTTAGATTGTTTTAGTCACATCCGCCAAGTTGGCAGTGAGACCTTCAACAGCTTGTTTTGACCATTCATTGTAGGATTAAAAACGTATCCATCAAGATCGGTACACTCCTTTTGTTCATGGCAACCTTTATGTGCTGATGGTACCAATGTCCTTGAGAGTCCATAGAATCAATTCTATTTCAGCCAAACAAGTCATGAGTCTTCGCGATATCCTTTTTGGTCAACTTAAGACAAACCAGAATTCTGGGTTTGCAAAATGTCCGGTCCCCACCTCGAGTGGGTCAATCTAACAACACAGCCCAATATCACCATCAGAATCTTTACGATTCCCTTTTACCTCAGCCACCACATCAATCCTTTCAACCAATATTAGCATCTGTAATTACAGCACATCATTATCAATAATATCATGGTTAATAAACAGTATGGTCACAGAAATTTAAAATATTTCAGTGGATCTTCTCTCTATCCTTGCCCTCTGGCTTTGAGCATCACTGAAATACTGGAACAGACAAAAGTAAATGTTACATTAAATCAATCAGAACAGTGACATTCTTAATACTATCACTTCTCCTTCTTGAACTTTCACAGTGTTTACCTATCGACACCATCACCGCGAGCTCTACCACACCCGACGCATACAAAACCCGCGCGGTTGCCAATGTAGACCCTGCCCTCTGTAGAGGTAATGGCCGCTGTTGTGAAGTGGACGATTGATTGGGTTGTACTTGTCCACTCATCTCCTCCCAGACGGTCGAGCTGAAATTGAATGTGAAGACCGGCTTTTGTGGGTGGGAGGATAAGCGAAGTATTAAGTCGTCCCAGAAGAAGTCGCTGGAAGGAAAGCGACCTCCATAGGGTGTAACACAGTCTCCGTAGGAACTAAATTACAAAGTGAAATCTCCCGTTTCTTTAAACACTTTAGTTGGTTAATATAATTGCAGTAAAGATGGTCACCATCATGTGACGTGGGAATAGAAATTTGATCTATTTGTGCCCCTGCCTCAAAATACTCGCACTACTGGCTTTACCAAGGATTCAACTGTGGCTTGGACACGATCGTTAGCTGTAAAAACAGTTTTGCTTTATGTGAAAACCAAAGGGTTAACTCTCGCTGAGCAGCCGGTGCTGGTCAGCATGAAGCAGTGAGCGTTCATTTGTGTATACAAACCCAGGGTGCGAGCAGTCAGTGAATTTAAACTGCTCATATTCAGTGGCTACAGTTTGTGATTTTTTAAAGTTTCTGTGCTTTATAAAGTTCTTTTCTCTTGTTTTTTCAATGAAGACATCCTACTCTCTCTCTCTCTCTCTCTCTCTCAACTTTTGTTGATCTTTTTATTTGAGAGAACAGCATTTTGACCTTTCCGGACGGCTCACAAGTATCAAGGAGACTGAACTGTTTGAGGGCTTTCAGATTAGCCAAAAAGTCATCTCCCTGTTTGGTCTGGAGGCATATCGGTGAGACACGAGGATCTATACATTGCTCGATCCGTTGTCTCATTGCTTTTAACTCCTTCTGTAATCTTTCAAATTCGGAAGTAACCATCTGTCCCAATCTTCCTTCAAAATTTGACTCTTTAATACCTTTCTTAGTTTCACCTTTACAATCCTGCAGTATTGGTGGTTTTGTCATTGGATTTGAGTTTATCCCTGTAACTTTGCCCCTTCGTTTACCTGAATTAATTTGTCCTGTTTTGTCTTTTAAACCTTGCAGTGAACCCTTGCTCTCCTGCCCCTTTTCAGTTTTTTCCTCCACTAAGGCTGCTCCTTGTGCTGCAAGTCTGTCCGCATCTCCATCTTTCTCACGTTTAGAACTGGAGGTTTTACTGATTTGAAGACCGCCTCCAGCCGCCTGCTGGAGGGTTAATAAGGCAATCGATCTATCCAATTTTTGGTCCATGGGCGAAGGTTTAGAGGTGATATAGGGGCAATTTTCAATTTGGTTACAGCTCGGGTGGACAATCAGAAACAAAGTGCCCTGTACCCCCACCTTTACAGCATTCACTAGAGGCACTACTCCAATTACTACCCCTTCCTTCCTCATGTTACTGCCCACACAAAAGTCTGTTTCTCGTGCAGCTGCCCCTTTAACTCAGTCATTTGTTCCCTGCAAACCTGATGGTCTACCTGCCGTCCAGCTTCTCCTGCCTTAAGCGCCACCCGGCAGGCACCTTGCACATCATCATTTTCACTCTTCAATCACTCCACCTCCTTCTTTAACACTTTCATCTCCCTTTTTGCTTCACCTAATTTTTTTTGTTGCTGTAAGCCCATGTTAATCAACATTGCTTGACTTCCCACCATATTACTTAGCTCTGCAATCCTTACTCGCTGCTCTCTTTGTACCTCCTCATTCTGTGTATCTTTCCGATCCCACTGTTCCTTCTCTGCGTACTATTCTCCCTACATATCTAAAGTGGAAGTCAGTTCCACTATCTTTCTCTCCTGGTTCTCACACACTTCTTCCATCCTGAATAATTCCTCCTCCAACTCTTTGCTTTCCTCTACGCTCCTTTTCAGGTCTTGCTGCGTTTCAAACCGACCTTCCGTCAGCAGAGTTATTCGTCTTATCTTTCTTCTCTTTTAATTCCTTTAGTACTTCATTCAGTTTTGTTATTTCTGCGTCTTTTCCTCCTGTTAGTTTTTTTTTTAGCTCTGGGGCTTTCCATTTAAATTCTCGCAACACCCAGTACTTGAAAAACCTCTTCTTACATCTCTTCCTTCCTGTTTTGATGTTACCAGCTGCTACTTCTTCCTCCAACCATTCTATTCCATCTTTCTGGCCGGCTCCTTCCCTCTTTTCTAAAATATTTTCTAACTTCAGGTTGTATCCTTACAAATATTCTCTTCGTATTTGCTGAACCGTGCCTTCAGCTCCCCTCTCGACTCTCTACCCCCTTCTCGCTCTCTCCCTTCCCTCCCCTCACTCTGACCCCCTGCTCGGGTCCCGACCCAACTGTCCAGCGCCTTGGGACGTCTTCCCGACGTGAAAGACGCTTTATAAATGCAATCTTGTTGTTGTTAACCACTTTGAAATCCTTCCCTTGGCCTCTGTTGTTTTGCTTCTGCCGTCTCCCTAATGTACCTATCTCGGTCCTTTGCCCCACACACCGTGTTCTCGCCTGACACTCCTCTCTTATGCTTTCCCCATGAGTTTTCTAACTCGCCAAACCCGGATTCCAAATCCACAAATAAGGATTCCAGGAGCTGCGTTACTGCCGTATGTGATTCACTAACCTAACTGTGTGTAGGTACATTAGCTGTCACGTCCAATAGTAAACCTTATCGCTTGTCGGGTCCCTTCGTGGTTGCCAATTTGTTGGGATTTCCGATCCTGAGAGTTCAAAATACGACCTGACAGTCCAAATTGGTGCAATAAGGTTTATTAGAAAACAGTGATGTTTAACAAGATGTATATAAAAAGGTATACTACCAATAATCACAGAAGATTGACGAAAAGTTCTTTAGACACGACCCAGCATTCGTCTTGATCTCACCGTGCAGCTCTCCCCTGCCAGTTGGAACTGACCCAACTCTCAAACCCCAGGCCAGTTATAATCTTTTTGACCCTCGCTCTGTACGTACTCATTCAAATCAATCATTAGCAAGGCGGCAGCCTGACCAGCGTTGATAAGGTGAGTCTCCATTGTCTTGTCTATAATGATGTTATTCAGGACTGGCCTTGGGACCTTCTTTGAACAGTTTATCCTTACTCCTTATCTTCCTAGGCCTAGCACATGATGTTTTTCAGACCATTTTCCCTCCAGTTCTAGCTGGTACCCAAGGTTACAATATCACTCAGGAATGTGCATCTGGAGTCGAGGAAGATAAGGGGTCCTGAGAGTTGAAGGCTAGGTCGGATTCCTTTCTATTAAATAAAATCACATTTACTTTATACATGCATTGGTTATTATATTCATTAGGTCAGTACAGGTTCTTAATATGGTCACAATATGCGGTGGTACATCATATTCCAACAACGGCGATTGGTGGATTGCTTTCCGGGGGCAATAATCCATCCCCCCAAAAATGCGGTCACTCAATTCACGACTGTTTGTGGGACGCTACTGGGCGCTATTGGCTGCCGTGTTTCGCCTGCAAAACATACTGTCAATTCACTTTACAGTCTATTCTCTGAAGCGCTTTGAGACGTCTCGAAAACGTGAAAAGGCGGTGTAGCAGATGCAAGGATTATGATCAAGGAGATTCGTGAACGGTGAGCGTGCTTGCGCCTGTTACGTGGCGTGGCGGAGAGTCTGGCATGGAGGAGAGTCTGGCTCCACTTAACAGAGAGACACTTTGCTTTCCTTTCCTGCGATCTGTAGCAGAATTTCAGCACTGGAAGAGCGTGCCACAAGTCTGTCACTGTGCGGGACTGAGGCATGGAAGGCAGCGAGCAGCACAGCAGCTGAATATCAATGAGAGCAGCAGAGACAGCCCTGTTATTTTTAAGGCGGCGTGATCAAAAGCATTCATTTATTCATTCATTCGTTCTCCAAGGTGCGAGCACTTAGATTGAGGAGATGCTAAGTGCAGGATGATAATAATAATAATAATCCTTGCATTTGATATAGCGCTTTTCACGTCGGGAGGACGTCCCAAAGCGCTTCACGGAACACACTGTAAAGTGAATTGACTGTATATTTGTGAGCGAACGCGGCAGCCAATCGCGCACAGCAATGTCCCACAAACAGTCGTGGATTGAAAATGACCAATTTAGTATTGGTTTTGCTTTGGAGGGATTATTATTAGGCTCTGTGTGGAGTAAGGAAACTTGCCCAAGGTTTCACCCTCTGCCTGGAATTGAACTCAGGTCTCTCGCTCGCAAAGCGAGTGCTCTAACCACTGAGCTACAGGACTCCACAATCTGATAATCTGTGAGTTCAAACACAGGGGTGAAGCTGCCTAGTATGGCTTTTGTGCCAACAGTTGGGTGATCTGCCGTTTTATACTGAAATCACAGCAAGCAGTGAACTCTAACTTAGGTGTCAGCCTGGCTTAGTGGATAGAACTCTCGCCTCTGAGTCAGAAGGCTGTGGGTTCAATCAAGCCACCACATCGGGACTTTGAACTCACTTAAGTCTAGGCTGGGGAAGTGATACATCATTGGTGGTTCCATCCCTCAGATAAAACATTAAACAGTTTGTGAGACACTACTGTGAGCAATTGGCTGCCACGTTTCGCCCACAAAATATACAGTCAATCCACTTTACAGTATATTCTGTGAAGCACTTTGAAATGTCTCGACGATGCAATAAGGCGCTATTTCAAACGCAGTGATCAGTATTTTTAATGGTGCAAACGCCTGCCCACCTTTGCCTGCAAAAAGTTACCGCACTTGACGGAAACCACTTGTGAATTCACTTTACAGTATATTCTGTGAAGCGCATTGAGATGTGTCAAAGACGGGATAAGGGGGTATATCAAATGTAAGGATTATTATTATTATTACTACAGGAGAGAGGCCAGAACGTTTCAAATGCCTGAAATACACTCAGCGAAAGAGTTTTAGACGAGCTAAGGCTTTCCATCTCTGTCGAGGTAAATAAATAAAACATCGAGTAAAGGGAAAGAATTGAACATGCAAAGAGGGGCCCCCATCAAGCTTAATCCGGCCCTGGGTGGGTGCCTCAAAGTGCTTCACAGGATTTACTGTGAAGTGGAGTGACTGTGTGTTTTGTGGGTCTGAATGGGCTGTTTCCAAGCTCTACCAGCTCTATGTACCCACGTCTGCTCACAAGAGATATTCTTGTTCTCTGCCACCCGGATAAACAGCCAGCCAGCTTGCTCGCCTCTCCAGCGTTCGTAGGAAACCACTAAGCTGATGGCTTTTTGGAACGTCCACACACACAGCAGTCTGACTTTGCATTTCCCGAAAGATGGCTTAGCTGTAATGGCCTCCAGCTTTTGTTCGTCTGTCTGCGCACATGTTGTTTCTCTTTTATTCAGCAGGGAAAGGGTTTAAATATAGAATCACGTCTATGTGAGTCACCAACCGGGCTGCAACCTCACGAGAAGCTTCGCTGATGACATAAACCTCACGAGGAGACAACTCGAGAGTGCTTTAGTGACAATTTCTAACCCTCCGAGGTTAACCTTTCGCTTGCTCCCTTCCTGTGTTGTGAGGCAGCGCATAACATGCAAGTGGGATTTAAGTTCGTATTTTCTCTCGGTTTTCGAGGCTTCTTGCCATTCAGAAAGAATCCCAGCCTCTGCCTCCATTTTCTGCCCAGTGTGTTCACTGCCTGCGGGTTTTCCCCCGCAAACTATACAGTCACTACACTTTACAGTATACTCTGTGAAGCGCTTTGAGACGTCTCCAAGACGTGATAAGGCTCAGTGTCATATGCAAGGAATATTATTATTATTATTATGCTGTGGGTAACCCCTTTTTTGTTGGAAGCCACCGCTAAATAATTACAACTCGCTTTGTTGCTCTCCTTTGTGTTGATTTAAGTCAGGGCCGTTGACCACTCCGCCGATGGCAGAGTCTTATCTCAGGTCTATTGCTTTCACCATTATATCTTGTAGTTTAATCCTAATCCAAAGAAAATGCTGGCAGCAGGTCCCTCCCTCCTCGCGTGTTATTTTTCCTTTCCCTTCCTCCGCACTGCTCTACTGAGCCACTGACTCGGGTTAGAGTCGAGTCCTGCACAGTGCTGGTGTTCCTCTGCATGTGAAGCCATTCTTCCAATTTAATAATAATTATCTTTGCATTTAATACTGTGCTTTACCCTCTAATACATTGCGAAGAGGTGGCCTTTCCCAAACTCATCCTCAGAGGTTTCAGCTATTAGTAGCACTGTTGCCGTTCGTTGGGCAATGCAATCTTCCCAGTCACTACACTTTACATCTTGTGAGGCGCTTTGAGGTCAAAAGGCTTGGAGATCCCAGAGTGTGTGTCGGTGTAATTAACTGCTGGAGTCTAACCAGCTCAAACCACCATAGCTTGCCATCGGTAGCATCGTCTGACAAGCTTCCCCGCTGCTTGTGGAGCTTGGGCCACCCTACTCGTAAGGACTTTGACTTTCATGATTAACAAGAGCCGAGTGGGAGGATTCCCTGCCCCCAGTGACTGGTCACCGAGCCTAGAGGGTGAGTCCAAGCAAGAGGAGTGAGAGCATCACAACCAAACCCAATCCAGGTCTCACCCAACATCTCACCCAATTCAGCTGGATGTTGAAACAAAACCCTTTACTCCGAAGGCCTTGATAAAAAAAAAGAGTGTGGGCCTGGCACAGTGGTAACGCTTTCACCTCTGAGTCAGAAGGTCGTGGGTTCAAGCCCCACATTGGGACTTGGAGTCACATCATCTAAGCTGACTCTCCAATGTAGCGCTGAGGGGGTGTTGCTTTGATGGAGGTGTCGCCTTCGTATGAGACATTGAACCAATGTTCTGTCTGCCTGTTCGGGTGGACGTTAAAGATCCCGCGGCGCTATTCGAAAAGAGAAGGGAGTTTCTCTCTCCCCATGTCCTGGCCAACAATCCCCCAAATAAAAATTGGTCACTCACTCCACGCCTCTCTGTGCGACAGCGCTGGGTGCAAATGGCCGCCGCCGCATTTCACCCGCAAAATAGGCAGTCAATCCACTTTGCCGTGTATCTTGTGAAGCGCTTTGAGACGTCTCGACGACGTGATGAGGCTCATCAGGAGCAGGGACCAGGAGGAGCGGAGGTCAAGTGTAGCCCCCACCACCCCCCCACACCAGTTGCTCAGTCTCACAGCACGGTCGGGGGGTGGTTGAACGTGGAACCCTCTGACTTTGTTTGGCTGCTTGAAATGCCTACTACATGGTTAATTTGTCCTACACTGGCTCTACGTATCAGGGTCACCCAGGAAGATGATCGCCAGAAAGAACATATGTGCCACGTTCCTCAGAGAGACAGGTTAGTAACTTGAACCCAGTTTTTCCTTTGCAATGCAATGCAGCCTACCTCGCCTTTTTATTAACATTAATACTTGCCACTTTACAACGGTGGTGAGGTCTGAACTTCATGGTGAAATTGGTGTGGGGGAGGGGAACACTTCGGTAACTTTTACGGTTTTAGATAAGAGGTAGACGGGTATGTTTGCCAGGTTTTCTTTCACCAGCACCCGCGCACACACACACACACACACACTCACTAACACACACAGCAACTTTTTCTCCCACTTTAGCTCATGTTCGCTGCACGTTTGCAGTGGTAAAGTCACTGTTGTTTTAAAAATATACATTATGTTGGGATTTCCGATACCTTGGTTCGAAATATGACTTGACAATCCAAATATGGTGTAGCCGGGTTTATTATGAACAGAGTGAACACAACATGCGTTGATTAACAAGTTACTACAAATGTCTAACAAGTTTGAAGATGGTTACATAACGTCACGGAACAGTTTACTTGTGATTCTTAAAAGGACCTCTCTCCACACTGGTCTCGCGCGCGCTCTCTCTCTCTCTGGAGCCTTCCTGTTCTTCTAACTGTTCTCACCTAGAGGTGCCATAGTTATACCCTTTCTCCAAGTGTCCTTTTCCTAGGGCCCCTCGACCCACTTCTGATACAGTCACGTACTCAGGTTAATCAACTGTTTGACTTGGTGCCATCCTGACTGAGTCTCCACCAGGTCTTCCCTTTGTCCTGTCTAAGATAGGAGATTGATCAGTTTAGGGCTGTATCTGGTGCTTGTTATTTTGTTGCGTGGGATCATTAGTATATTCCTTTTACGTAACTGGTTATTTCTTATCAGTATCCCGGGATGGTACCAAGGTCTTCTAGTTTGAACAACTTGCTCATTAGTTGCTATTCTTGAGGTTTGCCTTCTGTTGCTTGGCCGACCCTATCAGAATCTAGCGACTTATTGCTCAGTCGAGATCCTGTGTCGACCGGTACCTTGGACCGTTACCTCTGTGGGCTTGTTGTCATTTACTGATCAGTGATGACCTCCTGCCCTTTTCCAAAGCTGTCTTGTTATTCTTTCAGAAATAGAGAAAAACAGATGTGTCAGCCAGTCAGCCAGCCAGTCAGAGGCACGAGAGCGAGGTGCAAGGCCACGAGAGCAGCTAGTCAGTCAGTCAGAGGCACGAGAGCGAGGTGCGAGGCCAGGAGAGCAGCCAGTCAGCCAGTCAGAGGCACGAGAGCGAGGGGTGGGGCGAGGAGAGCAGCCAACACTATCAACTATCAACACATCACATACCGTGGAGGGCAGTCTGACCCTGGGCAACCACATCTGCAGAAGATGTCCCCAACTGAGGCAGCTCTGAGCTGGAGTCCAAGGTGCAGACACTACGGAGTATCAGGGACAGTGAGTGCTTCCTGGATAGCTACATCCTGGAGCCAGTCACTCCCCTGAGGGAATATACAGTCAACATCATTGGTTATGGTCAGGATAGGTCAATGGACAGTCAGGAGGTCAGGTGGACAATGGAAAGAGTGGTAGTAAATCCGGCATTAACCTTGAGCAATAGATATGAGATCCTTGGAACTTGTACCGACAAGGAAGCCGGTGAGGTGGAAGGAAAAACTACCTCTAACACTGGGGCAAACGAGCGGATGGTTGTCACTGAGGATGAGACTATTAGAAAGACAGACACAATCATCTGCAACCCCAACCAGAAGACCCGAAGGCTTTGTTGCCTCCCTGGGGCCGGGGTGAAGGATGTCTCGGCAGATTTAGGTAAAATAGACTGGAGAATCAGATTAAGAGGTAAAAATGTAGACCAACAGTGGCAAATATTTAAGGATGTAGTGCATAATTCTCAGCGATTGCATATTCCCTTGCGGAATAAGAATACTACAGGGAAAGCAGTTCATCCATGGCTAACTAGAGCAGTTAGGGAAAACATCGAATTAAAAGAAAAAGCAGCAAATCTGAAGATTGGGAGAGTTTCAGAAACCAGCAAACAAAAAATTAAAAACTCATTAAGAGCGAGAAAAAGGAGATTGAGGGTAAGCGAGCGAGGAACATTAAGTCTGATTGTAAAAGGTTTTACAAATACATTAAGAGGAATAGGCTGTGAGGGTAAATGTAGGTCCACTTCAGTCAGAGACGGGAGAAGTTGTAATGGGGGATAAGGACACGGCAGAGTCCCTAAATGGGTACTTTGCATCTGTCTTCACCCGAGAAGACACAACAAGTCTGTCAACAATAGAGATGCACCAAAGGGATAAGGACAGGAAGCAACTTAGGGAAATTTTCATTAGTAGAGAATTGGTGCTCGGGAAACTGTTAGCACTAAAAAGTGACAAATCCCCTGGTCCGGATGGCTGGCAACCCAGGGTTTTAAAAGAGGAGCTTATGAGATAGTGGAGGCCTTGTGTCTGATCTTCCAAAATTCCTTGGATTCTGGAACAGTCCCCATGGATTGGAAGATCGCAAATGTCACACCACTATTTAAAAAAGGTGGAAAGGAAAAGAAGGGGAACTATAGGCAGTTAGTCTCACATCAGTGATAGGAAAATTTTTAGAATCGTTGATTAAGGATGTGGTGGTGCGGTATTTAGGGCACAATATAATTAGGCCAAGTCAACATGGCTTTACAAAAGGGAAGTCATGTTTGACAAATCTCATAGAGTTTTTTGAGGATATTTCGAGTAAACTAGATAAGGGTGAATCAGTGGATGTGGTCTATTTGGACTTCCAGAAGGCATTCGATAAGGTGCCGCATAAAAGGTTAGTCCAAAAGATAAGGGCCCATGGAATTGGGGGAGCATATTAACGTGGATTGGGGAATGGTTAACGGGTAGGAAACAAAGAGTAGGGATAAACGGGTCCTTTCCAGATTGGCGGGATGTGACTAGTTGAGTGCCACAAGGATCAGTCCTTGGGCCTCAGCTATTTACAATCTACATCAACGATCTAGATGAGGACATTGAAGTTAATGTATCTAAATTCGCGGATGACACAAAACTAGGAGGAAGTGTCAACACAGAGGACGACATATAAAAAAATGCTGTGAGACATAGATAGGTTAGGTGATTGGGCAGGTAGGTGGCAGATGAAGTATAATGTAGTGAAGTGCGAAGTCATCCACCTCGGGAGCAAAAACAGTAGAGCGGGTTATTTTTTAGAAGGGGAGAGATTGGAATGTGTTAGCGTCCAGAGGGACTTGGGTGTCCTTGTACACCAATCACAGAAAGTTAGTCTGCAGGTGCAGCAGCAATTAGGAAGGCGAACGGTATGTTAGCATTCATTATGAAAGGATTAGAGTATAAGAGTAGGGAAGTCTTGCTGCAACTGTATAGGGCCCTGGTGAGACCACACCTGGAATACTGTGTCCAGTTTTTGTCTCCTTATTTAAGGAAGGATGTACTTGCCTTGGAGGGGGTGCAGCGTAGATTTACTAGGTTAGTACCAGGGATGAAGGGGATGAGTTATGAGGATAGGCTGACCAATTTGGGTATATTCTCTAGAATATAGAAGAATTAGAGGAGATCTTATAGAAACCTATAAGATCATCAAATGGCAGATAGAGTAGATAGTGGGAAATTGTTTCCCCGGTTGGAGAAACTAAAACCAGGGGTCACAACCTTAAAATCAGAGGCAGCCCTTTCGCACTAATTGAGGAAGAACTTCTTCACTCAAAGGGCAGTGAATGTATGGAACTCACTACCCCAAAGGGCTGTTGACGCTCAGTCCTTGAACATATTCAAGACTGAGATAGATAGATTTCTTATTGCAAAAGGGATTAAGGGATATGGGGATAATGTAGGGTCAGGTTATTAGCTGGAGTTAGATTAGAAGATCAGCCATGATTGAATGGTGGGGCAGGCTCGAAGGGCCGAATGGCCTACTCCTGCTCCTACATGTTATGTTATGTGTCCTATTCCATGACTGTCAGTACTTTCTCCATTCTACATTTGTTTAATGTTCATTATTATTAGACTACAGCTTCTATAATCTAACAAGTTGATTCCTTCAAACACAGATTAAATAGTTTTCTTTCAGGAAATAATGTTATGGGATATGGTACATAGGTAGTTTGGGACATGTGTGCAGGCAAATGCCAGGAAGATGGAAGGTGAACTAAGTCTTAGACCTTGTTTTTTTTTGCTATTTGTCTAGCATTTCTTACATTACATTCTTATGTTCTATTTGGGTCAATTGCCAGCTAAAGACAAGGGATTTTTCTCAGGATAGCACATGCGGGAAAACTACAGGACTGAATTTTCTATTAAAGGTAGTGTTGGATGGATATGAAGGCAAGGATACCTTGATGGTGTTCCCTTACTTTTTATCTCTGGATAACAGAGACTCAGGTTAGGACTGAATTGGATTAGATCTGGCTGGTTGGGAATGGAGGCTCCCAATTTGTGGAGTAGTGAGTCTGCTGAGTGTAGTGACTGCATAATCTGTACTGCATGGCGCATCCAAACCTTTGACTGCCCAACGGCTTGGGCCGTCCTCCCAACATGAAAGGTGCTGTACAAATATAATTGGCGTCGTCGTTGTCGTCGTCGTGTGACTCAGCGTGAGTGGGCCGAGGCAGGCTTCGCCTGAATCCACGGGAACTCATGATAGACATGTGGACGTGTCCCATTGCAGTGAGTTGGTGCACCATTTGGAAGAGAATATGGCTTGTGCATGAACTCCAACTGCTCTGAGTACAAAGTGACAAAGTGTTCTCCTAGACAAAATACACAGTCACTACACTTTACAGCAAAATCCCGTGAAGCGCTTTGAGACGACCTTGTGACACGAAAGACGCTGTGTCAAACTCAGGGATCATTTTTTGTTAGGAAGCATCAAGGAATCGTTGACTTGATTCTAATTTTGTTGGGCAAGCCAGACAGAGGAGAGCCTAGCAAGGTACACATCGAGATATCCAGATACGGTCATGGCTCAACATTAGTGAGGATTTCCATCGATTTTGTATGTCAGCTTCATTAAGTTGGTAGCTCTCTCACCT